CCAATGAGCAAGCACAAAATACACTGCAACTGAGGGAAGCAAAAGTTGGCCTAGTCTCAACTCGATAGACTGCCCATAGACTTGAATTGGGACATGGTCAAGGCAAGCCTGGTAGAGAACATGCCCAGCCAGGTTGACATCTTCACGAGAGAGTGGGGTCCACTAGGGAGATGGCTTTTTGTCAGGAGGAGGCGTATGTGTGCAAGAGGGTGTTGAGGTCACCATTGATGATCACAGAGAGGACGGATTGTGGGTAGGGACACCATCAGTAGATCGAGTCAATGATATCTGTGCAGGAGTTGGGTGCGAATAGTAATATCTGCAGTCCATGTACGCAAGAACGAAGCAGCAGACACATCTTCTCTATGTCTGGCGACCTTGTGAAGGAGTTGGATTTTGTCATACTTGAGTCTAACAAATCAGTTCAACTCAACACTAGAACCCATGTATTACCATCAGCTCCTTCTCACTCCTTCTCATTTCAATCCTTTCCAGTTCCCACTCTCATCTTTCCTCTTCCTGTTCTCATTCCAGTTTTCTCCACCAGAGTTCCCATTTATGGTTGGCTTCCCTCAGGCTTGATGACTCGTGCTGAAGCTCCGATGTGTCCTTCTCATATCTAGACTGGAGGCAGGTTAGTTTGTGTTTATGGGCATCTGTGAGGACCTTGAGAGAGATGGAATGAGGGATCTTGGTGTTTATTCTTGAGAGGCTTCTTGTGCAAAAGATGTGCAGTGGCTGGATGATGAGTAACATTCTGGTTCAACGCGTCTCGGACACTGCCAGATCTGCCTTCCACAACCATACCCCTGATTGAATTTCTCCATTGACCACTGTCTCAAAGACTGAATCCTTTGATCTTTGAGAACCACCACTGTTACTTCGAAAATTTAGCATTCCGTTTGAGGAAGCTCACAAACACGAACAAAACCCTGGCACATAGTACACATAGGCTGTCTCAACACCCTCTCCATTGTTGCGACTACAGCCTATTTACGCATGTAATTTTGCAATCTAACGTGTTTTACACACATACTGAAATATAGTAAGCGAGCAGACTAAAACTACGTGTCAACACTAATGCTACGTGGTGCAATGATATGGAATATAACTTATGGCATAAGAAGCAACAGGATTCTAAACAGGACTTAGTCACAGCACTGTACCTGACGGGCATACGTGATGAGAAGGCCAAACCCTATACCCAAGGTCTTAGACTCTAACTTACAAGCATGCTCGTGGGAGCTAGATAAAACCTTGAAGATTGCAGTGACACTGAGAATACTTAGCATGCTGAAGAGGCTGGCTGTGGGCACCTGTGGAATAGTGAGCAGGCTAAAAGGCGAACCTCAAAAACCCACACACACACTCACACAACTACACAAACTACAATCACCCTCGTAAGTTCTAGGGGGAGCGATTATTTCTAATGCGATCCAACTATACTTCAATATCTCGAAGAGTTTCTCTTATTCTCAGCGCTCTTAGCGAAGCTAAGCTTTCTCTAATGAATTCCTAAGTCTAGGAACTTTTTATAGGAAGGTTGTTCACTGGCGCGACGCAACCTTCAAGGCAGATTTGAGTTATAATACACAAGGGACACTGATCCCGACAGAAACAGTGGCAATACACGCCAAAACTTTAGTGAGCTCGCTAAAAGAACACCACAGGCAAGCACTGACTTAGCCCGCTCGCTACACAACTGTATGTAGGGGTTCTCCAACTAACTCCAGCAGGTTATCTCAACTCAAGAACACTTCAGAAGTGCTCGGAAACAGATTCAGAAACGGAACTTCGAACAGAACTGACACGGAACAGACTGAAACAGAACAGAACAGAACAGAACTCAGATTTCCACTTCAACACATTCTCCAAACAGACTTATCACACTTAACAGAACAGAAACAGCGTCACTGATTCATATTCACTCTGACTAAGTTCTCAAAAGTCTTATCAAAAGGGTATCTCATATTTCTCTGAGTGAGCTTGCTAATTCTATGCACAGCTCGAAGTCACAAACTGGTCCTTTGTTACAGTACCGCCTTCAACGCATGCACGGGAACTCGGGGGCTCAAAACTTGGCCTCTACCTACTGTAACCAGCCTACTTATACTACAGGGGAATTAGAATTACAAACGTTGCGCAGCACCCAGACTCCTACATGCGTAGCATGTTGCCACCGCCGCCTTACTGAGCATCCAAGTCGGACTTCCCAGTTTTAGTCTCATTTCTATAGTGAGCTCGCTAAACGTGTGCCAAGAGGTGCTCTCCCGACACCCGTGGGCTTGTTCTCTAGCGACCGACAGGTCTAGGCGCACGAAACTATCAGTTCTGGCATATGTCATTCAGGACTTCTTCCTTGGATTCACAGAGGCTTCTCGTAGACATGGCAACAAGTGAGTCTTCAAACAATGGGACTCAGAACAATGGAATGCGGGCTCGCGGACTTCGGCTGAAGCCCATTGCCCAAGCTCATGCCGATGATATCTGTCATCTCACTTAAGGATTTCCCTGGATTTTCAGGTATGGCGCATCACAGTTAGCGAGCGCACTAAGTGTTCTCAGTGTCAGTGCAATCTTCAAGGTTTTATCTAGCTCCCGTGAGTGTGCTTGTAAGTTAGAGCCTAAGGCATTGGGTATAGGGTTTGGCCTTCTCATCATGCATGCCCGTCAGGTACAGTGCTGTGACTAAGTCCTGTTTAGAATCCCGTTGCTTCTTATGCCATAAGTTATATTCCATATCATTGCACCGCGTAGCATTAGTGTCGATGCGTAGTTTTAGTCCGCTCGCTCACTATCTCTCAGTATGCATGTAAAACACTCTAGATTGCAAAATTACATGCATAAATAGGCTGCAGTCGCAACAATGCAATTGGAATGGGTTGGACTGTTGGCACTCTAACAGTGGGAGGCTTGCAGTAGGAATAATACCTAATTGTTAGCTACAAGAGCTCCTAATGAGCTTCTTATATACTACGAAAAGTATCTAGAATATTCTACCTAAAGTACTAAATATATCTAAGTATCATGACAAATGAGTAAGCTGAAGCTTCAGGAATCTTCTAGTATGAGCTTGAAGTTGCAAATCCCAATATGGACGCATATCCAAAGAGAGACAACTCCTTTAAGGAAGGAAAAGGTGAATTGAAGAGATCATTAGCCAGTTCACTGGGTAATTCCAGTACCTCCAGCAAGCTCCAATTAGAGTTGAGGATGAGTCACAAATTATGCACCTCAACGTTCATCTGCTCAGGGCCTCTTTTTCCATAGCCTTCAGTTCGAACGGCTACAGGCAAATAGAAGAATGAGGCATGGTAGATAAAATGACGAATGTGGGTGTAGTGCAAGGAGAGAGGGGGGAAGGCTTCTGTCATTGAGGTCCACGGTGCATTGATATCAAGTGATTCTAGAGCTGGTAGCAGAAAGATGGACTCGAGTAACGTATGCCATGGGCCAATATAAAGCTCTTTGACTGAACCTACATCCTCAACTTTGAATCGAACTGTGTGGAGAGCATGCATTAAGGGAGCTACTGTGGCCATCATGTCTGAGAAGGCTGCCAAATAGTCCCTCACATCACATAGATTGTGGCCACAACTATAGTACTTGTGCATTCAGGGAGATCTTTGAATTATGACGATGTCCAGCTCCCTGCATGATTAGTCTGAGAGTATGTATTATGATTAAGGTGAGTATTTATGTACCGAATGAAGCCACACATGGACGGTGGTGGAAACAGAGGAACTCTTTGAGATGGATTAACCTATGTCCACACTACCTTTACAAAAATGATGGGAAAACAAAGCGCTCGCAGCTGACGACATGCGCCGGCTAAAGGAGTGATGTTGGGTGGAAGCTGCTGCCTATAAAGACATGGACGATAATGGAGACTCTGAATTATAAGAATTAAGATGTCATCAGATAGGTCCTCGAAGTTGGCCATGTGGGTTCAATAGTGAAACATTATTGGCTGACTCCACTTTATACAAGCACAGGCAAACAATGTGAGAGCTCTGAGCAGCAAGCTGTCTTCCACTACATTATGGTCAATAGGTGTACTCTTCAATCTTAGAGAGAAAGAAGCTACACAAATTATGCAATATTATAAATGTCGTCCTGAGACACGAGGAGCTGGTTCCTCCCTCGGTCGCTCCTGCCAAGGTTTGTCCGGATTTTAGCATATTTTAGGCCCAAAAAAAGCGAAATCTTTGTCCGCAGATAGCATATTTCAGACCCAAAATTTGGAACCCTTGTCCGTAGTTAGCATATTTTAGGGCCTCTGGGCCTGGAGGAATGGCACCTGGCAGAATCCCTGTAGTTGGAGAAGCACATAGCGAAGACTTATTGGGATCTGAAGGATGGATGGAAGTGACACTGAAATTTCATCCGGAAAATGCAAGGCAAAGGATGCCAAAATTTGGCCTAATTTGGCCCGCGGCGCAGTCCGGCACAGACGGACTGGCAGAAGCCCTGTCCGAGTTAGCATATTTTAGGTGCCAATCTTTGCATATTTGAGGCCAAAAATCAGGGTTTTTTCCGGACAAACCTTGGCGGGAGCTTCCCGGGGCCTGCAATCAGGTGAGGCTTAGGGTGGAGTATCGGTCGTTTGGGGTTGTGTTTGCTCAGCTGTAGGAAATGTTAGCTATATTGAATCGTTGCGGTCCTAGGCTCTTGTGCTGAGCTATATTTGATAATTGTTGGAACTGTTCAGACGCGGGCAGTGGGCGAAACCGATGAAAGCGAGAGTCAGGGGTGCCGAAGAGACGGGGTAGTAGAATCAATGAGCCTTTAATGTAGCCAAGTCCTTCCTCGCTTGGGTCGCCGTTAGCAGATGTTGTTATCGAGGCATGGAGCACTATTTATATACACAGACATTTGGATGTTGATGCCCAGGTCAGACATTTCTCTAATTTACCTTATTACAGATGAAAATGCACGCATAACACTTCAATTTAAACACTGAGCAAATACATAAGCAGCTAGAAAAATGCGCCTCTGAGTCACTGGCGCCAGCCATCCGCAAAAGAGTCAAATTTACGGGCGAGTTCCATACAAGACATAAGATCGCAAGAATGGCCGTAGGCCGCACTCTCAAAGTCAATGATACGGAGAGCCCCATTTCCATCTCTCGTGATATTCCTAGGCTGGAGGTCATGATGGACCATGCCAATAGAGTGAAGGGCTTTGCAGTGATTCCAGATAACCTTCCTACATACAGTGAAAACTTGAACCAGAAAAGAAATAAGTCGAGGACAATACATACAGCTCACGTGGATTCAAACCTGCATCTTTCCACGAACAACCCACGCTCTCTCCACCATCGGCCATGATCATGGCTGCCCAATATTGATCAGGCATGGTAAATGTGCCGTAATAGGCAGGGGCGACATCGAATAGTTGACGACTTTGAAGGTACTGGTAGGCCTTGAGCTCCTTTTTCATCACATCAAAATGCCGTCGCGGATACATCTTGACTACCAGTGGGGAGCCGTCGCTGAGGGTGCCACGCCAGACCCGAGCATAGTTCCCTCGATGAATTTCCCGCGAGATGGTCACAGAGCAGAATATCGGATCAATCGAAGCCAACAGAGGAGAAGACCTGAGCACGTCAGAGACGCTAGCGCTACCAGAGAGGAGCATCGTCGACCGGGCACAAACTCTCGTAACGAAAAACTACTCGAGGAGCCGCAGATACACCTGGATGATCTATGTAAAATAACAGCTGAAAATTGTGTCAAAGAGGGTTGAGTGTTAGTTTTCTAGGATAAAACATACCGCAGATGGTATGGATGCGATCTTCAAATTTCGTTCGACGTCGACAAGTGCTGGTTTGCCCTGTACCGACCCGGAGCCGGTTGAGATACTCGACCTTTTCGAGGACCGCACCTTGAGAGGGTTCACCAAGGCCGGCAACCGAGTCATGTTATCCACGATGACATTAGGAAACAGTAAACCGGTCAGAACTGCCAGAAGTGGAATTCCGCCTTCGTCGTGGGGCGTGCAGGAGTTGCACACGGGAGGGTTGTCGTCATCGAAAAGATGATAGTGCGGGGACACCAACAAAGCGTGCTCCCCACTATCATATGTTACTTGAAAGTAAATGAGACATTATTTAAACCACGCATTGGGAAATAGAAAAAACGAGCACACCACGTTCCATCAAAATAGCGGACACTCCGCTGAAAAACAGACCAAATTTTGCCCATGGTGTGCAAGTATATTCCTGGAGCCACATCTTAAGGCCATTCGCTGTTATTTATCTGTGCCAAAGACAATCGTACTGACTTTGACAGCCATGGCCTTGCCACCCTCTTGACCTACAGGCTCACAGACCTGCGACTCTCGAAGCTCCGTTGCATAGCGGTAAAGCACTCTCGGGTGCTTTATCTCCACACTGACCGCCTTGACGTCCTCATGGATGTCGATATTGTGGGTAAACAAGTTCATCTCGCCCGTTTCCAATTCCAATTCTGACACATGCACTAGATCCACAGAGAAAGAGCTTTCAAGGGCGACGACGGCTTCCAAGACGACCATCCGTACGTTTTGCAGTATCTACAAGATGTCATATTCGTTTTTGAGTTTCTGCTTCGCACTTGCCACCTCAAATAGGATTGAGATGCTCCTAGCGACATAGAGGGGGACGGGGTCATCGATTATGCCCAGCTGCTCTATAAAGGCTTCTAACGGAAGAAGTACACGGTCTAGGAAACTGGGATCCAAACTGCTCTGGCGCAGGGATTCCTCGGGTTCTGGTGGTATGTTGGCAGAATATGGTACCGTTTCAGTCGAAGCGGGCTCCAGAATACTGGGATGGGAGGGAAATCGCAAATGTAGAAATTCTCGCCAGGATAGCGACAGGGTGGTCATGTTGGAAGAGTAAGGAAGTGACCGATGCTGTGGAGCTAGACAAAGGGTACCCGTCCCAGATTATTCGGATGATGGACATTTTGGTTCAACGCGTCTCGGAAACTGCCGATCAATGTTCACGTTCAATTACTGTGGCCTTGTCTATGCCCCCCATGGACACTTACTCGACATAGCCCTCTCCAGCTCAAATAAAAGATCCAGCAACTCAAAAACACCATCACCCTCCTCATGGCTACACAAGAGGGCGAAATGGAGCGCATCTTTAGTACGTACAGACCGCGTCTAGATAGGATGCAGAACCAGCTTTCCCGCCTTGAGAGGACTCGTCGCCAGCAAGAAAAAAACAGAATGCAGGGAAAATATTTGACCAATATGGCACATCTCGGCTACCCTTCATAGAACAGTTTGTCAATCATAAACATATCATGAGCCTTGTGCAATTTCTCCATCGCCCCTACCCCCGGTGCCCACCGTATTTTTTCAGACGGCCGCATCGGGTACTCTGCTTCACCATCCTTCCCAGCCCAATCAAAATCAATCAACTTGACTTTATCATCTCGCGTGAGCATGATATTCTGCCGCCGCAAGTCACCAAATACAAAGTCGTGCTCATGCAGTTTAAGGATAGCCTCGCGTACCGATGTGACAAACGATTCTGGTGCCTTTCGACCTTGATATCGGACAAACGCGTTAGTACCTTCCACCCCTTCCATCACCACCATGCAAAGACTGCCATATGAAGGTGCATCGGCGGAAGAATCAATAGGACCGTGATAGAGGAGCTTTGGGGCTAAATCAGCATTAGCGAGAATTCGATGTGCTTCACCCCCATATTGCTCTACAAACTTGACAACAATGCGGGTGCGAGAAAGGTCTGTTGTTTCTGCGAGAAAGGTGACACAGAGGGTATCTTGTGGATCTATTGGGCGGAGATATCGAAGAGGTAGTCGAGTTGTTCGAGGTATAGCCCTTGACATGAGGGTAGTAGCGAGGGTGCTCCATCGAGGTTACAGGTATAGTAGGTATGACGAGTGTATCCCAGTAGTTTGCCAACGAGGTAAGACAGTTGCCGAAGACGTGAAAGAGCCGGGCTATGCGTCGGTAATGAGGGCTGTTCAGATGAAGATCGACGACCCTAATGAGATCCGTCAATGGTTCGATAATCAACTTGTCGGTAAAGACGGCGCCCAAGACACCTATCCAAGGACCTGCAACTGCGAGGACAGGAGTAGGGCAGCAGGCTGCATTTCTGTAATTGGCGCGCTAGCAAAAGAACGGTCATCTAGGACAGAACGGAAAACATTCAGATTTACATTTTTTTGCGCCCAAAAGTGGCGGACAGACAGACCACCCTGAATGGAGGGGTCGGACCCTCCAGTCCCAATCTCATCCTTGATCTCACTCAGCGAAAGGGCCACGCTCTCTCCTTCTGCGTGCACGGGTCGATGTACAATGGTACCATCAGGTTCAGTACCATCGATATTGACGATATGCTCGAGGGAGTGGCCGATGGCGGCTGAGAGGTGAGGAACAAGGTTTTCCCTTCGACGCTTGTCTCCCTTCCTGGAGCCTGTATAAATAGCCGAGGATACCTCAACGACCTTCATGGTGGCACGTGAGACGTCTTGAGGCACCGGGAGATCCACATTGGCGAACTCCGTCCTGAATTGGGAAAAGACAGGATGATAGAGAGCAATGGGTAAACCTTCAGTATTCTGAGGATGGTCAACGTCGTAACGGCCATCAAATATTGGTCTTTGTTTGCTTTGGTGATCTTTGTACCCCGTCGACTTGGCCTGCTGGGAAGGCGTTGGTCCTCTGAGAACCTCGGAAAGCGTCTCTTGAAAGTCTAATGTAAAGTAAAACAATAGTGTGGAGTTAGATTGGCACCGACACGTACTACGAGGCATTAGATCATGAACTGGATCTAGCATCTCTTCGGATTCTGGCGACTCAAGAACGACGACGAAATCGAGTAAATCGACATTATCATCGGTAACGCTTGACATAGAAAGCTTGGTTGACGTTGATAAATAGGTTGCATGGTTCTCGATAGCGCCAACGAGCGGGTTACGGTTATTCTCCCAATCAGGGACGGTCATGGGTTCATTCAACTAATGATGCAAAGTTGAACGAGAATCTTGACAGTATAGGAACAAGCACGTGCTTTCCAGAGTTTGATGCTATCCTGGTCCCATGTGCCAACCCGCTTGAACTTTTGTGAGTCTTTGACTCGCACAAAGACGGCTTCGATAGCATCGTCAGTCTGAGGTGCCTTTGATTTCATCGATAACTTGATGCTGACGACGGGCATATACTGTTTGGACAGGGCGGGATCATAGATGCCACAGTAAAACTTTTGCATGACTGAAAGGGAAAAAGTGAGGTAAACATTCAGGATGTGCCGGTCGTCCAATTAAGCTCGGATTTGAAACTCCGACTGCCAGCCCCCCGCCGTCATAATTACCTTGTTTGCCAAGGTTTTCCAACATGGATGAATGGTTCAACGAACTGACACGGGGGATATAGCCTTTTGTCAGGAATAGGCATAAGTGCGTACGTCGTGCAATGGCGCAAACAGAGTGCCGCTAATGATCGCGGAGAGGACGGCCTGTGGGTTGGGGGAGAGGTCCTATCATATCCTTCTACCTCCTTCTACTTATCACACCAACGGAGGCTACAACAGATGCGCGATAATCATTTGGTTAGTGGTACAATGGCTACGATGAAACATAATGTAATCAAAAGAAAGAAAGATCATGAATTTGAGAAATTCTGCCGTTCAATTATGGATTTCTGTCGTGCGTCTCGAGAGACGCGCCTGGAAGACCATGAGAATGTCGCTAAGTCCAGCACTTTCGATCCACATACCAATAATGTTGCATAATATTATTCTGCCCGAGCTTCGCAAGGAATGTCTCATCATGCGTAATGATAATAAGCTGGAAGTTTGACTGATGCTTCCGCTCATTGATGATGCTAACCCATGACTCGTTTCAGTACCAACCAATACACATTGTGACGACAACTCACTCCACGAGACTATCAGCCAGCGCATCGATATTCTCCCTATCCAGAGCATTCGTCGGCTCGTCCAAAGCCAGAATACCACAATTCTGCCCAAAGGAATCGGAGAGCGCCAAACGGATGATGATCGATGCCAGCATCTTTTGGCCGGCCGAGCAGCGACCACGCATGTCCATCTCTACTTGGTCTTTCGTCATCACCACCTGTCAGTAGAGTCAGGATCGCCACCACTGGAAAAAATGGCGGAGAATGTCATACGCGATAATTGTACGAGCGTTTTGAAGCGCCACCCTCGACGTCCGAGCGGATCTTGATACCGTCGATATCTGTGTTTCAATCCAGTTAGCATCAGTCAGAGAGGTGAGCTACATACATACCAGTTCCCTGGTACGTCCTATTCCACAGGTGCCTCATCGTGTCATTGACTTCTTCCATCTTCAGACCGTGGTACTTCATGATCGCGCTGCCATAGAACCGGCATTAGATAACGTGTCAGCAATGGAGGAGAACACGCACTTGTCCAGAGCCTTGGCATACAACTCCAAGTCGTTGTTAGCTACATCCGACATCTAAGAAGGGACAGTGATGAGTTTCATCGGAATTCGTGCACTGCCACAACCCACACACCTTCACTTTGACTAACTGATCGGTATATCTGGTGTCAATCTCCTTGAACTCCTTCATATCCTTCTCCGATTGCTTCAGCTGAGCTCTCAGCGAACTCAACTCTCCAGCAATATGAGAGTACTTTAATCATAAGCCGTCAGAAGAGGGAAAGGCAAATCCAAAGTCAGAGTGACCCACCGACGCTTGCAATTTCTGCTCCTTCTCCTTCTCAGGTCCATACTTTTCCTCGAAATTCCTCCGTGCTCTCGCAGCCGCCTCCAAATCGAGGCTATCGATCTTATCCTGGATATCCTTGACCTGACGCGCTAGCTGTCTTATGCGTATGTTCTCCTGCAGGTTCGCCCTCTTGGCATCCCCACCACCGATTTCCCGATCAAGTTGGGTGATCGCGTCGCGACATTTCTGCAAGCTGTCCATGCACTCTTTGATCTCCAGGTCGGCCTGTTCGCTCCTCCTCTCGTTCTCTGCGAGTTTCTGAGCTCTCCTTTGCATGACATACCTAGAATTTGGATTCGAATAAGGACGAAATCCGGGTGATGTACGTGAACTGCGTACCTTTCGACATCCTTGTGAATGCTCTCCAGTCTATCGTTGCTCTGGTTGGATGCTTGCACATTACTCTGGGCTTCTGTGATTTGAGCGTTCAGAGCCTGTTCAGTGGTCTTGAAGTCTGCTTCGAGAGCGTCGATGGGCCCCTGAGCTTCCGCTAGTTGAGCGTCGGCATCCTGAACACAAAAAATTAGTCGTATATTATCCAAAGGTCATCGGATTTCCATGCCTTGACTCTTTTATTGAACGTCTCAATGCTTTCTTTCGTAGACTCGACTCGCCTCCGAGTATCCTCCCTTTCCTTGATCTTGTTCTGAAGATCCCATTCGTCTTTCTCCATCTTATGAACATCACCCTCGATAGTACGATATAGGTTATTCTGGCGATCCTTCTCTTTCATTATCTGTGATTTTTCTCGGTCGAGTGCATGTCTGGAAGTGACATCGTGAGACAACCAGTCAGAAAAGCGAAGCAGATACCTACATCTTCGTGGATATCTCATCTAGCTCATTCTGAACGTCTCGCATGGTCTTGGTAGAGCCGGTAGCAGCTAACTCCTTTTCATAGCTTTCCACCTCTTCCTCTGCACGCTGAATTTCTTTCTGGAGGCGAGAGACGTTCCTGGCAGTGATCTGGAGCCCTTGGATGTCTTTCATTTGCTTTTTGACGACCGCGAGTTCTTGGTCAGCCTAGAGATACATCAGTACATGTCGTTCTTTCCGAGCATTTTACGAACCTTCTCGGCCTTAGTAGTAGCCTCGGTCACCTTGTCCTCCTCCTTATCGATCTCATCCTGCAACGCGGGTATATCCTTCATCTTCAGCTGCCTCTTGTTATTCTCGATGGGCATTAGAGCCTGTAACCGTTCCAGCTCGCCTTGCCATTCCTTAATCTGATCCCGTTCATTTTCGATAGACACATCGGCGCTCTTAGTCATTTGAGTTTTAAGCTAGAAAAGAATTGGCGTCCTCAGTCAAGCTTCAAAACTACCATCATATGGACTTACGAATGTCTCAAAGATTGCGAACACTTTGGCATCCATATGCCGGTCACACACTGAACACCTTTGGGATTCCTTCCCGATCTGGTACAGGCTCTCGTATACCTGGTAGGATCCGACTTGTCTGTGCATAATGCAGCCAAGCAGAAGACAGGCACGAAAAGAAACCTTACGAATTTCGAAATCTCAGCTCAGAATTGACGTCCGCAATCGCCTTTTCCAGTGGTTGGTCAAGATTTTCCGCCAGAATCTTCTCAACCCCTGCGCATAACACACACATATCAGCGTCTGTTGATAAAAAGTCGTGGTCAACGCACTCTTCAGCTCAGCTTCCTTCTTCTCCAGTTGGGTTTGCATATTGGATAGAGTGGCTTCTGCATGTTGCAGTGTTTGGTTAGCGCTGTTGGCTTTAGCTTCCAGTTCACTACATTCAGCTTCCTTCTCGCTGGACAGATATGGTCAGGAACGGATGTGTTTAGTGATCAATGACGAAACGCACGTCAATAGCCGGTCTACATCAGTCCCTATGGTGTCTATATTCACATTTTTCTTGGTGAGAGCACGGTACTTCTCGTTGATATTATCGATCCTAGTAGACGACATCAGTAATGGAGTTTGGGGTTCGGCAAAAACCTACGCATGGTTCATGTCAGCAGTCTTCGACTTGACCTCCCCCCTCTTGAGATCCAGAGCAACACGAGCCTCAGCCTGATTGCTTAACGACGTTAGTTCACCACTGAGAGCCTCGCGCTGGCGCTCAAGACCCTGAGCCTGGGTAGCTTTCTCGGCCAATTGTCCATCATAGTCGGATTCATTGAGACTTTTCTTCAGCTTTTCCAGTCGTCTCCTCTTGTCCTCGATGTTGTCCTTCATGGTACTGAGCTCTGTCTCGTAATTCTCGTAACTATCCAAGAACTTCTCATCCTCTCTAATCTTCTTCCGCCGCTCAGCCTATTGAGACTCAGCATGAGAGAAATGGATAAGGAGAGGAGGGTTACGCACAATCTGTTCTTGCAAACTGGTTCGTGTTGCCTTGTGCTGTTCCGCCTGACTCGTGAGTTGCATGTGCTTCTTAGTATATTCATCGCGTTTTTCAGCTAGCTCGGTCTAGATAATGGTTAATACGAGATTCCATCATCAGATGCCATATCGCACCTTGAGTTTATTGACAGCGGCTTTATGCGACCTTTGTAGATCTACCAAACGAGAAATGAAGGCTTGGATATCGCTGCCTTGCAAAGGAGAGTGGCTGAATCCTTTTATTCCGTGCTTATCACTTATTTCGAAAATTAGCTGTTCACGATCTGCAATGCGTTGTTTTTGGCTCTATCGAGAGTTGAGACGAGAGTGTAAAAAAGTATAGAGACTTACTTCTGCCTCAGCAATGAGTTGGCCCCGTTCGCTTGCCAACTTGGTGTGTTCTTTGCGCTTATTGGCCACGTCGTCTTCAAGGTCGCGAAGGTTACTCTGCTCTCTATCTCTCTTTTGTTTTTGGGCCTCGATTTGACTTGAGAGATTGTTCCGTTCCTGTTTCAGGTCCTCTTCGCTACCTTTCAAACGATCAACGTGAGTATGGTGTTTGGATAAGAGCACAAACACTTACCAGGAAGCTCACTCTGGAGATTCATCTTGGCATCCCGGAGCTGCTCTTCCAGTACCACTTTATTCTTCGTCGACGATTCCGCTTCGCTGAAGACCTCACGAAATTTGAGCGAATACTCGTAAAACTTGGCATTGGCCACTACGATTTCATCATATTTCTTCTTGGTTTCATCGTACTCAATCTCCTTGCTAGCGATTGTAGAATTTAAGTCGGATATCGTTTTTCGAAGTTTGTCTGCATGGCCTTTTTCGCGACGAAGACCTTCAAGATGCTCTTTTTCAGCCTTGAGATCGGCAACACGCTCCTTCCGTAGTGTCTTGATGGAGTCGAGAGCTTTCGTGTATCTGTAGAACTATATTAGCATTGTAGCTGGTAACGTTTTCGCTAATCTTGAGCGAGATGCGACTATCAGACGCTAAAAGCATGTTACATCAATGCACCCAAGTTGGCCAAATCCTCAAAGCATCCTTCTAAGCTCACGGAGCGCTTTGGAAAATGAAGACCCGGGCATTCTCATCCAAGAAGATGCAATTTCCGCAATGAGAAACAAGAATGAAGTTACTTGCCTCGTAGCCTCAAAGATATCGTCGAATTTCTTCTTTAACGTCGAAGGCTCCGCCAGGGGCCAGTAAGAATCTTCTTGGTGACAGAAGATGACGTTTTCAAGTACAGCCTTAGAAACCCCTAGCAGCTGTGGGATTTCTGTATCGAGTTCGGCACATTTTGTAGAAATGACGCCCCTCTGAACGTCTCACTTAGGTAAACACAAATGAATGTGATTCGTGGCGCACCTTGCTACCCTTCTCTACATTGCTATCTGCCAACGCCAAAATACCCTCGAGAGTCTTCATCGTCAAACCCGACGTCTTCTTCGCTGTAACACTCAGGTTCCTAACAGCGAGCATGCGCGTCCCACTGGCGGAAACGAAACGTAGCTTCACTTGGGCCTTCACCTCCTTCTCGTTTGCCATCTTCGGATCGTGAACGAAGGCACCCCCTCGAGTATTGGGAGGTTGGTCCCCGGTAGTAGCATACTTGAGACATTCGATGATTGTTGTCTTTCCGCTGCCATTGTGTCCTACGATGACGGTAACCGGGGTGAAGAATTCAATGACAGATATTTGTTTGTCGTCAAAAGACCGAATGCCTCGAATGGCAAGCTTGTTCAAGGCAGCCATGGTGGACGATAGGAAACTGGACGCGTGTTTGGCACCCAATAAAGGTCCAAGGAGGAGCGTGACAATTCGCGAAAAGTAACGTGTCACGTCACGCAACAGCGGACCCCGAAGCTTCGGCAAAGCACTTCTCATCAACTTATCATCTACATTCCTCACCGTTAGTGATAAAATCAGCTAAACATGCAAACTGTTGTATAATACAGTTATTTACCGGTCATTGGAACGCCGAAAAATATTTTTTGTCCCATCCACCACACATCGTCTTTTTCCTCAAATAAAGTAGCCACAAAATTTTTAATATTACTCAGTGATGTCAATACAAAGTATGAACTGGATCAAAGCATCTAGTATTGAGATATTCGTAATTTACGGTGTTTCATTGACTGGTAAATGACCACGTGGCAAACCCCTGCCAAATTTGCATCACTGTTCGATTTTTCACGGGGTCAGCAGTAGCGCTAAAATTCCCAAAAAATCACTAAAAATCCATAACATCTATGTCTCCGATTATACAACACTTTCAGGCAGCGGAACTGGGGAGAAGGAGGCTAAATCAACTGTTTCAGTGACTGATGGTGTTGCAATGACCTGTCAATAACTGTACGAGCCTTGTTTAAATATTAAGACGCCGTAAGCAATGATTATTCTTAATGTTTCTTTTACTGCGGGTTGAGCGAACTCTGATATTTGTGTCAAAAGATGTTGTACATGACGGCATACCATTCACGCCATTGCTTTTGACTGGCGAGCCAATTCTGATAAGTGATATGATCAGACCAGAACCACCAGGATGTAAAAGCTAGTAGCAAACTCCGACACATTGTGCGTCCTAGTACCATCCTTGACTTATAATAATGACATCTGGATATTTGAAAACTTTCTGCGGATCTCCGACAGAGCAGACCTAATAACACAAGGAGAGCAGGTAGCGCTATTGTCGACATGTCCGGAACCCGCTCCCACCGTGGAGATCAAAGCCAAAGAAAGTCGAAGTACTTTAGAGAAGAAGTGTCATACGCACAATCAGTCAGGATTGTGCACATGTTCAACTGTTCATCATGTTTCATAGGAGTTTATACTGTCTCCTCAGACTTCGTAGCGGCTGGGAAACATCATGGTTTTCTGATCCCGACAGTGACTAGAGTGGAGAGGTACGCTGGACTCCTCCGCCGATTCTGATGAATGACGTGGCATGCTACATCCCTGACATGGACACGCGATACAAGATTTCGATGCCTCGTTCTCGTCTATGTGCTATCTGGAGACTTCTCAAGTTCTTTTTTCATACAAGCTGATATGTTACGGCACTACCTGGCACTACTGATCCGTCAATACTTGCATGAAAATAGACTCAAGATGATGCGGAAGCGAGATTTCAATGACCTCTAGCATCACAGTACTCCCTGCTCTCTGAATGATATTCACTTGAACCACTCTGCCTTCTGATACGACAAGATACTCACGTCCCTCGATGTACACCCCACTCTGGTGCAAGTGGCATTCAATCCTACACTGCCTTTGAACCGTAGAGCACGTTTACTGCCGCTCTAAGTCCGCCTGAATCTATCAGTCTGCCAGTGGCTTCGTCGCGAATGTCGATCTTAATTACTCAGCTCCATGGACTTAACTTCCGTTCTGACTGCCTGATAATGTGGTGGGGCGGTCCCTGTGAATTGGTTATATACACAGGCTTTCTCGCCTGCCCCACCCTTCCCCTCCCTTCTCATCCTCATCGTCGTGACACCTTGGAGGATGACTTCCTTTGGTCATCGCGGGCATCTCAGCCATTCGTTCCGGAGACTTCGCTCTTTTCATCTAACTCCTCAGGAACAACGAGATGTCCCCCCACTAGCTGCTGCGTTATCTCGTCCGTCTACACCTCCCGCTTCCGCTCCTCCCGCTCCTGCTCCTCCCGCTCCCTCCTCCCAAAAATCCCGTCATATCATCCCTTTACTCCCTGGGCAGGCGTCGACTTCGATACCTCAAAGCTTCAAACTGGCGATGTGTATTATTCTTTCCCTTGTCTTCATTGGGACCATATCATGCGTATTCAGTGGCGCCGATGCGGGTGATCCGCCTTTCAAAAAGACGTTGGACAGTGTTGCTCCAGGTGTATGTATTCCTCCTCGATCTCATTATGGCAGCTCCTCACGAGAACTACAGATTGTCCTGATCGGGGACAACGTCGATGTAGACGTTGATGAACCCTCAATCACGATTCGGTGGTCTATCATGGCATGTGGCCAGGGCAATGTGCTCCCAGGTTCAGAGGGTTCACACGGTAGCAATAACTGCGGGCTTCCCAATGAGCTTGTATACATATACGTCGATGGGTCGGTATCTTCTTCCGCTTTGTGAGCTTCTCCTAATGTAGATATACAGAGATCCCCAGCCGACAGCGACGTACAACCCTGCTGAGATACCATTCAACAAAGATACCGGTTTACGGAGAAAGTCCGTCTCGTTCTCCTTCATCAAACGCTCTACTCACTGTGAATCTCTAGCATACAAAACCTTGTGCAATTCGATAGTGACCACGTCCTCGACGTGAGCAAAGCCCGGCTCTATCCATTTGATAAATACTACCTCTCAAGCACCCTGCATGCCGTATCGGGTACTACCAACCAAACTTTGACTATAAGCAAACTCGCTACATTGGCGCTGACAGCAAACTTTGACATCCACTCGACAGATGTGGAGAGCTATTCGGACTTGGCTGATGGCACGAGACTTCCGACGAGGGATCTGGACATGTACATCAATCGCCCGACGGATGCCCGTGGAATCGCACTCCTGCTGTTCATCGTCTCATGGATCTTAACACACGTCTGTATCGGTCATGTTATCCTCGCCCGCAGGCTGCATACTGCCAAACCTGTGCTCAAGCATCTCGTCTCTGTGGGCGCGATGCTCGTGGCACTCCCACAACTGAGGAACAGCATGCCCGACGCGCCGGGCTTGGATGGATTTTTGATTGGCGTGTTCCCCTTCTTATTTATTGCCCTCTTCGCTCTGACCGATCCTGCAGATACAATCGGGTTCTTCCCTCAAATGGTCATTGTGGGGATGTGCATAATTATTTTACTGCTTATCGTCGTCTCGAGGGAGATGCATGCCAAGACGCGGGAGATATCTGCCCCCCCACCCCGCCCGATGACTGTGTTCAAAGGGGACGTACCGCCGCCACCCAAGGTGCCGACGACATCGATGGAGATGGCTCCTTATGAGATGTACAGGCTGATGAAGCACTTGAAAGGACAATATGTCTTTCCCCCGGTTGCGCCTCCTACTCCTCCTGCACCGAAGAAAAGCATGAACAAGCATTGGAGGTATATGACCACAATGGGGCCGATATCAGAATGTTGAGGAACACTTTTCTTTCTTTACTTATGACTGAATCGAGTATGCGTGGCTTGTTTTTAGGGGGACTGTTCAATGTACCGCTTGACATATTCTTTTTGATCTTGTACTTCGGTTTCGTATCACTCGTTTGACATACTATTCACGCTCGTTGCTGTTTATTGTAATATTATCGTAATTTATGCAGACTCGCTTCGACGTTTGAAGTGAAAACTCCCCATGTGCAACGTAAGCAGTGGCGATCTTTCTGCAGCATAACCTAAATTTCAACATCATTTAATAATAATAAGCAACCAATATACACCAGAACTACAAGAAACAACTCTTGCTATAAACATAGAGTAATAATAACATGAAATCAGCAACATAAAGACATTGAATTCCTGATAGGATAGATAAGTGAGATGAGTGCATAAGTCACAGATCGCAAGACAAAAAAGAAAATGACAAGATTGGAGTTTGAGGAGGTCCACGGATGTTCGACCGATTCGAGTCTCCGGAATATTGGCTCCTCTTCATAAGTAAACGAGCGACCAGCGCACTAATTTTTTTAAAAATGACCCAAAAACCTCAGCCTAAACCATGACCGACTTTGCCCGTACCTTAACCCCGGCACCATTCATCTTGACCGCCTCAGCCTCCTTTTTTGCAGCCCTTAATGCAGCGCTTCGATTTGTTCGTGGAACAATCGTAGGTGCAGAGATACTACTAGGGCGTGGAGCTTTCCTCTGCGGCTGTTCTGTAACCTTTGACTCGGAGGTCTTGGAAGACGTCTCTGCTGATGAAGCACCGTGAGACACCCTGTTGAGGGACATTGCAGACGCAGCGCGAGACACTGTCGTTGACTGTGAGTGCAGTGATGCCCGAGACGTACTCCTGGAAAGGCTATTCGCGGATCCGGGTAGTTTCGGTGCGGTTGGCTGTCGAACTATATGAAATGATTAGGATTTTTAGGACAACTGAACGTTGATAAACTTACACATAAATGACGTCGGCGGCGCACTATCCTTCTGCGCTCGCAAGGATGAAGTCCTATTTGTCCTCGGGGCAAGTGAAGGTCGACTAGTCAGCGAAGGGACGCTAATCGTCTCTCGCCTCTTATGACCTGGTACACCCTCGAAGATGGCAGCAGTCTTCGGTTTTGTTTCATTGACCGTGGGCGGCGTAGTCTTCTTAGATGCCTCCGGAAGTGGTATACCCAGCCTCAATGAGGCCGCCCTCGTCATGCGTGGTTTAATCGCGGGTGCGTTCGTTGAAGCCACTTGAATAGTCTCGGTGCGTTTGTGACCCGGTACATTAGCAAAAGTTTTAGCGAGTTGTTCCTTGGATAGAGGAACTCGATGCCTATTTTCCGAAGGTGCAGGAAGGATCCCAGCTCGCAATGCGGCCGCTTTGGTGGTCCGAGGTACGATATCTGGTGTTGCATGGGATGCTGGAAGACCGCGAGCTTTGAACTGAGTATTTTTCCCCGATTTGCTGCCGATAGTTGAAGGTGGTGAATTTAGGCTATCACTGGTGGGGCTACCTATTACGGTGCCGTCCACGGGTGGAAGGTCGGAAATAGGGAACGGTGGCGAGGAAGCAAACAGGGGAGAGATCTGCTGTTCAGCAGCATGGGTATCGGGAGAGCCCATAATGCCATTCTGCGCTGCCGAGAGACCGTAGAGGGCACGAAGAGAGTTAAGCGGAGCCTCGGCCGGATCGGAAGGACCCATCAGAGAGTTGAAAACCTCGACGGCACGACGGCGCTCAAGGACGTAGACCCAGACAGGACCTCTAAATTGCGTTATTTTGATTAAGTTTGCAGGTTACTGTCGTCAGACAGAGTTACGCACTCTCCTAGAGAATCAGCGTCGTCTCCGAAGAGCTCATAGAGGTACTCGGGGTCAGTCTCGACATCAAATTCCATTTGACGCTCTTTGACGATCTGCTTCCATTGTAAGGATGGCCACTGAGCGGCCTAGAACGTAGGACGTACCTCGAATCCTGCTTCTTGAATGCGGGGCTCAATGTCGAAACGGTGCGACAGCGCATGATTCTTGATGATGGCGACAGTACGGGTGATGGGTATAGTCGATAACGGTGAGAGAGATGGAGTCAAAGACATAATAGAGAGATAAGAAGATAGATAAAGCACGGAAATAAAAGAACGAACGAAGAGGAGCTACGGACGGTATAGGAGATGTTGATGAAGATGCAAATCCTTGTTGATTTACTTGCCTCCGGTAGTCTAGACGTCCCTGCCAAACAGTACCCGCTTCCCTTTCCATGTTCCACCAGAATACAGATAATAGAAGGAAACAACTGCAGAAGTAAAGGTAATGTGGAATAGATCCAAGGTATGTGCAAAATGGCAGCAGAAACGAGACAGCTAAATATTCATTTCTCCAAAGCTTTAGCCAAATAATGACCTCACGACACGTTACACGTCGCTGTCAACGATTTCGAAGTTCCTTTTGACCACCATGCCCGTTGGAATCGAGGCCTGGGTTACCCAGATACCCCCAATAACTCGGTCGTGGCTCTTGGCCGCTGTGTTGACCTCTCTCGCCGTGCAGTGTCAATTGCTGACTCCGCTTCAGCTATACTTCTCTCCGAAGAGCGCGTTCACCAACCTCCAACCTTGGCGTGCCCTCACAACCTTCTTTTACTTTGGCACCTTTTCCCTCGACCTCATCTTTCATCTCTTCTTCTTCATGCGCTACAGCAGAATGCTTGAAGAGAGCAGCTTCGCGCACCGTCCAGCCAGCTACCTTTATCTCTTGTCGTTCTCGGCGGTGCTCCTCCTGGTTCTCAGCCCGATGTTTAATTTGCCGTTCTTGAGCTCGTCATTGGCATTTGTTCCCATATACGTATGGTCGCGGAGGCACCCATCCACTCCGATCAGCCTCTTCGGGTTGGTCACTATAACTGCGCCATACTTGCCGTTCGCGCTGGTCGCTTTCTCATGGGTCCTCAACGGAACATGGAAGGCAGCTGCGGGTGATCTCATGGGATGTTTAGTGGGCCATATAGCTTGGTTCACTCGAGATGTATGGGCTAGGGAAATGCTCGGTGGTGACAGTGTCTTGAGCGAGCCGCCACCGTTTTTGTGAGTTTTCTTCTCTAATTATATATGATTCCCCGACTTATTATAATGCAGACAAAGAATGATGGGCGATATATAAGATCGTTTTGACTTAACCGCCATGTACATTATTCCAGGTCTGAGTTTGTCAACGAGTCTGGTAGAGAAATAAGCGGTTCGACCTTGTCACCAGCATTGACGCGGGAAGTATTGTCTCGAGTGTTATGAAATCTGTGGGGGGAGCAGGGATCGGTCCATCGTCCAGGCCAGTTGAGGACTGCCGTGAGAAGCATATGTTCAAGGAGCTTCAGTATGTGTGATATTGTGGGGCATGATCGCGAAGCTCAAATCCAAAAAGGGTTGCGTTCGGGTCAAATTTTGTCCCTGCAGACCTAGTGGTAATATGGACTTTGGAATACTTATATTTTGTGGCCGCAGACAACTACTCTGGTGAATAAGTCGAAGTGTTTTTGGATGCAACCAGCGCGTACCACGAGGGATTGGGTTAGCTAAATTTACTTGCTGTTCTGGCAATTACTGATCCAATTCGATACGTTGAATGTAAGCACCGCGCCAGGTATTCTCAGTACCTCCGGCCTTAGCCGTAACGGGATGCGCGTTATTCGGCAACTCCCGCGTAGAGCCTTTCCCAACTTGAACTTAAAGCTTTGCGAAGTTTCTGCGCTAGATAACTGTTCATCATGGTCACGGTCGCTATCGAATCCGAAGATGTTTTTCTTTCTTCCTGGGATATGTCTAGCTGGTGGCTCGGGAGGCAAAGATCTTTCATCACAATGTAGCTGAGTGGGACCTCCAGGTGGGTCAACTCTCCGGTCCCGGCTCGTCTATTTCTGACTCGCAAAAGGATCGCATTATTCAGCACATCATCTAATATTATGACGTCGTAGTTCAGGAAAGTATAAAGACGGGCCATATCACACATTTTCAACATCCAACCTGAACTATGTCGCCCGCATTGAAAGTCTGGTTGATAACAGGTGCCAACTCTGGGTTAGGATTAGCAGTTGCTGAATACGTACTTGGTCAAGGCCACCAGGTTCGTAGTTTCTTCCTCATGTGCTTTTACAGCAAGCTGATCATCGGTTATCAAAGGTAATTGCATGCGCTCGCGATACTACCAAGTTGCCCGCATCACTCAAGACTGCGTCAGCCCTACCCCTTGACCTCAATTGGCCAGATTCACGAATCAAGGAGGCTGCTGCGAATGCGTGGAAGATTCACGGACGCGTCGATGTGCTTGTCAATAATGCCGGATATTGTCTTACTGGCCCCGCGGAGTCTCTCTTGTGCGACTTACAGAAATTTAACGCTATTAGCATCCACTGATATATCGCGTTAACAGAGCTGATGACATCCAGGCGCAATTCAAGACTAACGTCTTCGGACCGATGTCCCTCATTCAAGCGTTCATCCCCCTTATGCGCGAGGTCCACTCGGGTTGGATACTAAACTTCTCTTCTATCGCTGGTTTTGACGGCTACCCGCCTTTCGATGCGTACAACGCCAGTAAAGCCGCGCTGGATGGTATGCCTTTTCATAACTAGTTTTAATCCGTGCTGACTATATATCCTTCAGCATTCACTGACTCGCTTGCGCGGGAAGTCTCTAAATTCGGTATAACCGTACGCAGCGTTGCACCCGGATTCTTTCCCACCAATTTCCTCACCGTTGCGTTCAACACGTCTTCTCCTGCTTCATCTGCAATGTATCCTGAATACGACGGACTGACGAAGCTCTATCACGAGAAGCATGTCCAAGACGGACAAGTAGGCGATGTAAAGAAATTATCTGCTCGATTATTCGAGATCGTAACGGGCGAGGTGAAACTGGACGAGAGTTGGACAAGGATACCACTCGGATCTGACTGCGGCACCCGTATGTTAAAGAAGCTCGGTCATCTCAAGGAGAATGTGGAGGGTACTGAGAAAATATGGAACTCTACTGATATGGACTTGGAGAAAGTCAAGCAGCGGTTCACGTAAGTAGCTCACGAGTACGAAATCACTGCTGCCTAGTCGCTACGTGGTATTGAGCCAACGCTATCTATTTCGAGCAATATTGTAGTCATCTAACCCGTGAAATCCGAAAGTTATCATGGTAACCTTGCATGAAACTCTAGTATGTCATATGGAGATAGAAGAATTCTGAATGAACATCCCTCCTGTAGAAGCTTGGACTCCAGCGACTATTGGAGATACCAGCTCCGAAGCCGCACAATGGTATTATACACCGACATTGAACGCTTATCGTATAGCCTCTATACCAGAACCATCTCCCTTGGATAAGGGTAAAACCCCCGATATATATATATCCGACCATTCATTTCGTCAAAGGTATCCATCAACATGCGCAACGTCAGCGGGTGCCTTATTCATTCTGCGCTGACTTTGTATTCTCCCATTCCTGTACGGTTATTGATACACGTTGGGGCCTGTTGGAGCGGGGTAATTGCCGTAATGCCGCTACGCACACAAGACAAGTGAACAATTTACTTAATAGAGTCTTGTTGCGCGTAAGAGCGTCCACAAAACTGGCTTCTATGCAACGAGATATTTAATATTGAAGCTGGGAGAGCCTAAATTTGGCTAGAGCGTAACTACTAGGAGTGGTTGTTCAGTTTGTTGAGCGTTGAACGTCTCGAAACGACAGCAAGAAGCAACGCACGTGGGCGTGAGAACATTGTTTAGCTTCAACCATTCTTTGGGTCCAACTCCCAACTGTTCGCTGAGCGCTCGGCAATTTCTTCAAGGCCTGAATTCAAGCGGGATAGGTACGCTACGTGATTTTGCAGAATGCTCATCTAATCATTGAGTCAATCCAGTTGGTTCATTGTGACCGGAGCATCTTCCAGATTTGCACAGGTCTGTATCCTTTCTCCATGACTGATACTGTCGTTCTGATGGATAGTCCTAGTTTCTGCCCATATAGTAAGATGCCAGTCGAGCGCCATCAAAACCAGCTGAACAGATACAACAAGAAGGTCCCATCACTTTGATGGTCATTTCCTATCAGCATCGGGAATCTCAACAGCCAGCTTCAGTCGACATTCGGTATAGGCAGATTTCTACAGTAATAGCCGTCTCGTTCGCGGCTATCTTCAAAGCCAACGGCTGGCAATTAATGTCTTCTGCCATACGCTGCTAGCTATTCCCGGTCGAACCAAGATTTGCTTTTCTATTATGCCTACTAGTCCTTTCTATTCGGCCTGATGGGCTTCGGAGCCTTGGGGTCATTCCAACATGGCAGGCAACGCATTCGAATTGTTCCTTAAAACGTTCGTTACCGTCCCGACGCTTACCACACATGGCATCGTCGGCGAGAGGTTCCTCGTGCATTTCTACCACCTTACAATCTCTCTCTTAGCTCCTTTTGTACCAAGCCTCGCCAGTAAAAGCTTCAGGCCTGATATTTCAGGGCCGTCCTCATTCCGCTCTGACAACCTGGAACGTGTCTGAACCTTGTGACGACGGGATGCATCGACTATTCCAGTTCCTGGATCTTGGGCTTCTCCGTAAACCCAGCCGTTCCTTTGGACATATAGGCAAAATCTATTGAATATGCCAACCGTCCTCTCAAAGCGTATTTACCAACCCTAGCATGTTGCATGTACCGACAAGGACGCATATACTTACCAAATTCTAGGCCGACTTGAAAACATGACCTGATATGAAGACGACACTTTCTGCCAGGCGCTTGAATGTATATACAATTTCTAGCCTCACCTCGGGATGTTGCGTGAAGGCATCGGCGACGGGATATCGATGACGGGGTGAAAACCAGAGATCCCATATGGGATAAGGACTTCGCCATACACTTTTACCCCTGCGCAGCCAGCACGCTCCAATGAGTTTGGCCTGATTTGGTGTATTCGCATGAACTTCCATCGCAGTGCAAATACAGTTACCATAGGCACGCTCAGTTTAGACACTGAGATGCAATACTACACCAAACGATGTCTCCGAGCCTTTGTCTTCATGCGCCTCCCGGCAGCTAGAGGGCCCGCACTCCCGAACTGCTTTGTTTCCCTTCCGCACGACACTTCAGATTGTCCCCCTGTTCTACGGTGCTGGTGCGATGACCCAGGTGCGTTCGAGGCTGCAGATTTCTCGCAAGTCAAGGGACCCGAGATGAAGGCTGTCACTTCGTTTTAGTCGAGGTATACCCTACATGATATCTATCAATAATCCTACTCTCTTAGGATTAACACATGCCAGTAGTCTTTGCCACATACTTACATCCTGACTGTCCGTCGGTTGCAGGCACTATTCATTTAGGAAACCCTAAAAGTAGTACACTGCGACAGAAGACGGAAACAGAGAAGCCTTAGCTGTAGCTTGGCCTTCGGAGAGATCCGATCAATAATGATTTTCACGTTCAGTTTCAAATTTGTCCCGCCACGACTCCGTTTCGCTTCAGTTTTACCCCCTGAAGTTGGTCTCTCTGCTACCACCTCTTTGACATGTCGCAGCCCTATCTGTGATCTTATTTCTTCCAGTGACGTTCGAGACTGATTTCTTCTCCGTCCAACCTGGAGTTTACGGATGCCTCGGGTTGCAGTGCGTCGCTCGTGGTAAATACTCTACATCTCAGCTACAGTAAGTCTCTGCCTTGGTATTCAATAGTTTTTTGGGGGGAGTACAAGTCTGACAGAATACGCCTAGCTACAGATCACAACTTGACGGAAAGTCCCACAACGGATTTGATATTCAATAATATTCACAAGGCTCGGTGTAAGTGATTGTACGGCTGATTTAGGAACCGTGATGCTTGCTGCGTTGGACTCGTGAATCATTATAGAGATGGGTACCGTGAATATAAAGGTAAGCACTGTGATAGTCATTAAACTTGATACTTGGACAATGGACAATGGCTGCTTCGTAGCAGTTGACCCGCTGAGACAGATGTAGTGGAAAAACTCGCTCTCAGTATTAGACCATCATCGCCATCCTCGGGGAGTGCACATGATATGCGTGCTCGGGTCTTCTAGATGAATGAGCAATGATCGGTCATACACCGCCAACTTGATCATCAGTTGCTTTTATCCAGGCATCACGGCGCAAATATGAATACCCATTGGCGCAATGGACATGAGACGTAGCGAGTTTTCGGGAAATTTTTGGAGTGTTGACAGATGTCTCCAGTAAGTCCAGGCAAGGTACGCGCTCTCTATGTCGATCGTGGCTGGAGTTTGATGTGTTTCAGGCCACACATGGTACAGAACTGCAATTTGAGTCTAGGAAAAAGAAAACAATCCAAAATACTTCTGTAGATCAGAACATCATTTTTTGTTAAGCAATGATGTCGGAAACCCAGTAACACGGTTACCAAAATTATCAAGATATTCGACGCCGAGCCATCATCTTTGCATGCGTTTTGGTGCTCCGTTCTCCGCTTTTCAGCCTTCGCAGTCAATTGGGTACCTCGCCAATATGGTCTTTGTTTTCAATAAATAGAACAGACTTCACGTCTTTCTCTCCCACCGTTCCTCTCGTATCCCACATGAGCAACGACGTGCCCACGGATTCATCTAGCCATATCACCCTTCCTCATAGTCCCATGGATATGGCAGCCCTCCCCTCCGACGCACACTCTGTTTCCACAGCTAAAGAATTGGTGGACGAAAAGGCAGGTAATCCGTGGGACGGCTATGAGGACGACGAGATGCCTGACAAGGTCCAGCCTCGTTTGGTGCGAAACGCGAGGCTCCAGGCATTCTCGATCTACCGTCGTCTATTCTCAGTGGTGTTCATTACCAACATGGGGATCTTCATCTCGTACGCGATCAGAGGATACCATTCCCAGAAGATTGCCTTGGTCACCGTCGCGAATATATTCATTGCTATTCTCATGAGGCAGGAACTCGTAATCAACACTCTCTTCCTTATCTTTTGCTCGGTCCCAAAGTCGTAAGTCTTTCTTTCTTCGTCGGTTTGTTACCTTTATTCTGACTATTTAATCTTTAAACCCGCAGCTGGCCTTTCTTCATCCGTAAAACCGCTGCGAGAGTGTATCACCTTGGAGGCATACATTCGGGTGCTGCATCCTCGGCGGTAGTATGGCTCATTCTCCTCGCCGTACAAGCTACACGAGAGCGTGTTAACAACAGAGGGGTAAGCCACATTCCCAATTTGTTTCCTTCTATACATACTGAGATTAGTTCTCTTCAGACATCCACGGCGACCGTAGTGCTTACCTACATCATCATGTTCTTCTTGGTCGGCATTGTTCTATTTGCGTACCCGGCATTCCGAATCAAGCGCCATGACGCATTTGAACGTGTACACCGTTTCCTGGGCTGGACGGCAACTGCACTCGTTTGGGCACAGGTCAGATTTTAATTAACATTTATTGTCTATTATTCAACGCATACTTGCAGGTCGTCTTGTTGACCAATGATTACAAAGGCGACAAGTCGTTGGGTCCGGTCCTTGTGCACTCGGCCGCCTTTTGGTTGATGATCATTCTGAGCTTGTCCCTCATCCTCCCATGGACGAAACTACGCAAGGTTCCCGTTCGCAGTGCTGTTCTCTCTAGTCACGCCGTTCAACTGTTCGTTGACTATGGTATGCTTTCGTATTTCATATTTCGAACCGTTTTGACTGTTTATCAGGCCCGCATCCCGTCCCTGGCTCTTTTCAGAGATTCTCCACTGATCCCTTGAATGAATGGCATAGCTTTGCCACCATTGCCATCCCGGGACAGTCAGGTTTCTCCATCATTATATCCCAAGCCGGCGATTGGACTACAGAGATGATCACCAATCCTCCCAAGGAGATCTACGTCCGGGGTATGCCCACTTGTGGTGCCTTACGGATTATTCCTTTATTCAAAAGGGTGTTGTTTGTGGCCACTGGAAGCGGCATTGCTCCCTTCACGCCTCATATCATGAGTGGGAAAGTGGACCACAAACTTTTCTGGATGGCGCCGAACACGCGTGCTACCTTCGGCGATCCATTGGTGAACATGATTCTGGAGAACAGCCCAGGTGCTGTTGTATATGGTTCGCATCAAGCTTTTAGCCTTCTTGAATCTCACTGACAGACATTTGAAGATACTCGAAAGCATGGCAAACCTAACATCACCAAGCTCACAAATCGATTTGTGGATGAATTCAAGCCGGAATGTGTCTGTGTCATCTCGAACCAGAAACTGACGGAGAAAGTCATCTATGGTCTCCGCAGTAGGGGTATACTCGCTTTTGGAGCCATCTTCGACTCTTAAATAGCACGGATTGCCAAAGACCCTACAGTTATCCGACTCTTTGAAGTTATTTATTATATCTTTTGGGATGTTCGCGTACTGGTATGACGACACTTGGTGTTTTGTAGACCATGAATTATGTATGCTTGTAGAAACGGTCTTATAACATTTATTCTATTTTCTTCGAAACAAACGTTGTAAGGAAAGTTACGACCACACATGGTCCAAGAGCATCTATTTCTCGATTGACTATTACAGTAGAGTCATATATTGATTACATTAAGGATATTCTGTGAAAGTAGGATAAAATCTATATTAAGATCCGGTATATTCCAAGATTCATTACTGATTCACTGTTCCAGCGTATAAATGACGAATTTTATCCAGTTGAGCATCTACAGCCGTGATCAGATGTATTTCTTGGTCATAGAAATAAAACCTCACTTATAAAAGGAGATTGAGTTGTTAATGCGCTCATTGAAGCCATAATTTCACCTAAAAGTCTCATCCGTTCCGGCGCAGGCATAGACCCTTCTCTTATCAATATCTCGCCTACTATGCCCCATAGCACCTATTCAGACAATCAGATCATCATGTACGAAGAATGGCGTGGTATGGAACTCACGCCAATAAAAGAATCCAGAACTGGCGGGCTGAATACATCGATATTGCTTAGAATCTGAATGGCGGCACGAGAATGGGACAAGACTCGGCCGCGAGAAGCCGGATTTCGTGAGATAAACGGAGCATGAAGTTGTATCATCGAAACATGAGCCAAGGTGTGTATCATGAGTGAAATAGAAGGGGCAGCAGGTGCTAGCGTGGCTTGGACTGATGATAGAGTCTCAATAAAATTCTGGATTACACGTTCCACTGAGGTGAAAGAAGCAAAGAAACGAGAAGCTTCTTGTTGCGACATCCCTAAAATGTGTGAGGAACATATAGAAATAATACGGGAGTGTATATTCGCACCAGATCGGAAGCGCGGTCCAATGCGAGATGCTTGCTCAAATAGTACCGAAGCTTTCGCATGTAACGCTAAAGCCGAAGTTCCGTGATCCTCGTTTTGGTTAGCTAGAAACTTCTGAAGGGTATGGCTCGTTCGATAGTCACGAGGAAATTGAATCTATCAGCCCGCAGATGCGTAGTGAAGCGTTCATATTCTATCCAAGCAACAGAAGTACATACCTGAGTATCCAGTGGCCAGGGAACGTCTATCCTACTATCAGGAGAAGTATTCGAGAAGTTAGATGGGGAGTTATCTGCTGTCGTCCAGCAGTTATCCAAAATGAATACCGTCCAGAAGGCTTTTATTCTTTCACTCTCTTCTACAAGATCAGTTGGGGGAGGGAGTACCGACGGTCCACTTCCCTCGATAGACCGGATTTTGTGCAGGCGTGCACTCAACACCAATGAAACGGCTGAGGAGGTATGGTACCTTCCTTCCAACATTCTTGCCTTACGGAAGAAATAGTGTGCCAACAAAACTTCTGCTTGGATACAGTGTATGATCCGCTGAGGATGACTGCTGGAAAGTTCTTGAGCGGTACTTTGAAGGGCACGGGCAAGAAACACCTCTTCATAGGCTAAAATCTCACTCGAATCGGAGAGGTGAATTCCCCATAGGTATGCTGTACTAAGAAGGGCTGCGGAGGGTTTCATAACGTTTGGAAGCGTTGCAGAATCTGAAAAGCGAGTCTGATCGAGGAAAAAGCCGATTTCCGAACAGCGTTGTAAGAAGGACCGTAGGCTAACAAGCTATTTGAGTATGCCACGCAAAGTTTCCATCTGAAGACTCACATGATTTCATGCAGCTGAAACGAAAATGAAGTGGATGAAGCTGAGCAGAAATTAGGACACCAAATTGAGAACTTGAAAATTGCGCACATGGAGAGCCATGGAACTGAGAGAAATCTAGACGAGTGCTTTGATTAGATTGGTTGATATTTCCCAGACGATTCATCGGACCTGTTTGCTCTAGCTCTTGAATACGGCTTTCAAGGATTGCAATCTGGGCTTCTAGAGCTTGTGTCATACTGCTACCGCCTCTCTCGACGTATTCACAATCGTGAAATGCATCTGATGACGAGCAAGGACCGCACACAGGCTTCATCCCGTCGCATTTTATCTTACGACGCCTAAGGAAGCTGTGAGATATATTACTGATGAAAAATGTAGACTGACTGACCTGCAATTCATGCATGCGCTTCCCTTGGGTAGATGGTTCTTGGATGAGGATGGACTAGAGGTGTCAGACATGGTCGAGAGGTAGTTGGGTACTAAGGCATTGAATACGGAGACATTTATACGGAGACGACGCGTTCAAATATGAGCCTGGATGACTGTTCCAACCTTTAACAATAATACCCTCGGGCTTGATAATCTATACGTGTCAAGGCTCTATGCGTCCGCCTCTAATTTGACAAGCTACGGCGTCTCTTGGGACTAGAATCGAAGGGCCGTAGGTCCGACTCCAGCTACGATTTTGCGTAGTCCGCGATCCTCGTGAGACTTCCAATCTAGCGTTGAAAGCAGGATCAAAGTTTTGTAATACAGTAGGCGGGTCTCTAGAAAGAGCCAGAAAAATAAATATCATAATCGGGGCACGATGACTGAGCAACATCACTATCTGACTCGCGATCTGACGCGATCGACCTCCTACCTCGTGACCTGTCTGATTCAGGATTCGGCGGTGCCCGGGCTGCCCCTGACGCAACTCAAAAGCGCGCCTCAACCTCGACACAAAACCAGTGCTTAGTGAAAATCTACCACAGTTGACGCAATTTCTTTCTGGAAGGATGAACATATGAGATGAGGCGTTCACATGTAAATTTATCCAGAATATGGGGTGTCCCTAAAGTGCGGGAGAGGCACCTTGCACGGCCCAAAACGCAGAGTCGCCATGTTTACGCTCATACAGGGACTGCAAGAAGGCATCCACAACGCTCGGATGTGCGGTGGATCCTGCGTTCCTAAATTTCACGACGTACTCAGTACGCGGCAGGTCTTCACTTCGGCCGAAGACAAGGAATGGGCAGTCATATCCATCAGACCGGAGATACTGAAGCAGGGCATGACCCGTCGAAATGTTTCGCGTAGCTGGAAGGAGGATACTCTGGGTTTCGCAACACAGCACCCGGAACATATATGCTTTCGCCAGCCGACGATACATATCTTGCATGACAAAATCAGAATTCGGATGGGAAAGAATGAAATACATCAACTTACATCTATGCTTTTCTATCTCTTCTTGAGCCTCTACAAATGTTCTGGCAACAACAGTGTGCAGGCTCTGCTCGGATATGGAGAGAGAATCCGAATCTGAGTCTTTGACCCAAAGTAACAGCGGCTTGGTGCGGTCTCTGGGCTCAACATTGAAGTCTAGCCACCATTCTTCATCCTCACCGTCATTGACCATCAGTGGGTGGACGAAATCCAGTAGGACATCAAGGTAGCATGTAGAACCAGCCCTGACGTAATCGAGAACATATGAAGTTTTCATGATGCTCTTTCCGGCAGCAATGAGGACTGGGGCGGAATACTGTCTTCCGCGCAAATAGCGCAGGATAGTTTCTCCGGCATAAATATTTAGGGAAATTCTTGAGCTTCGATACGACGAGGCCGTCGATGTAGAGGCGTCTTGTTCCCAACGAGCATTGTCTGATACACATCGCAAGCGGCCAAACTTGTCTGCGACGCGTAACATGGCTATAATACAATATGTCAATGATATTTATTCTTGGAGAGAGGTGACGACTTGCCTTCATTGGCCTCTATCCATGTTTTTGCCGAAGCTGTCGACGTGAAAACGAAGAGATCAACATTATATGATCGAACTAAATTGATCGTATAGCGATGATTTTCCGGCTCGTCGTCAACCATAATCAATATAGGTTTGACGGAAGTAGGGTCAATGTCTGCAATACTAGACTCTGGGGATTCGTCGACTTGAATGACACCAAGAGTCACAAGGGCGTCGAGTAATGGTTGCTGTCCAACGAAGCGATCAAGGACTTGCTAAGGTAGTACATCCCACTCCGTACTCGTCCAGCCGAAGAGAAAGAATTTCCTTCGCTTCTGGAGTCAATGACTTGTCAAGGTAGTGGCTAAGGGCAGCGTGTAGGAATTCAGCAGAGCAGTACAATGTCTACAGACAATAAATCGTCAGAACGAAGAAAAGATGCGTAGATTCACTCATACCTCGGTCCCAATTTCGGCCGCCCAGAAATCTTTGACATCCTTGTTCGAAGCTATCTTCAACTTATCCGAGCCTGCCACGAGTGACCGTGACGATTCAACAGGAGGGCTGAGTGCGCTGGGTTGTCGTATAAAAGATGAGATTTGGATAGCAGCGGATAGTATTTGCACGCTGGACACGAGCTGGGTCTTGTCGTCCTTCAGCTCGTCGAGCACTACGGCAGGATTTAGGAACGCCCATAGCTTCTTTCCGCTCTTGAATTTGCGGCTATCCTCCCACACGACCAAATGGTCTCTTGTCCGAAAGAGGACTTCTTGAACGGTCCGTAGACAGCCGACAACGCTGGACTCAAGCTGAGAACCTCCACTGGCGCCGACTGATGATAGAGGCAATAATACACCACTATGGACGTTATCGAGGGTGGTATGCAAGTCGCGAAAGACCTTTTCTTTGGATTGGTGTTGATCTATCCAAGTCAATAGGAAGGAGGTTGTCGATATAACAGTGGTGAGAATCGAGATGGGATCCATGGAGAGGCCTCAGGGACTTGCGTGACACTGCCATCATCAGTAGGTAAGTAACCTGGACCAATTTGGGTGATATCCATCGACAGGAAGGGGGCGAACGAAAGATCCAGCAAGCATTGAGCTCAGACCGGAGATACACTGCAAACAACGGCCATTCAAATCGTTGCAGCGTTAGCTCCCTCTTTCAACAGTCCTATAGAAGAACGAAATATCAAGGAATTATTAAATATTTTCTTATTCGTTGGCGTGAAAAATTAAATAAATATCGAAATAAAAGGAATGAGATAAGAACGAAGGGGCGGATACATTTACTTTTCAAAGTCGGGTATCCTGATGCGTAGGGGATCTCTGCTACTGTGATGTACCTGAATCTCAAGTTGGTTGGTAGATGTTATTATTGCTGTTTTCATGGCGGGCAGCGTTACCACCCTACAGATACCAGGAAAATACGAGAACTTGACGATTCTTTTAAGATATCAACAAATGCTGCAGAACGCGAAAACCACCATGAATTTAGCTTCGGATTCTCCCCGATATCAGATTGCAGATTTTGATCTAGGAGCTAGGATCCATTAAGTACGGTAAACACATCAAGGACAGTCAAGTACACACCTTATCTTTAGAAGAACGTCTAATCTAGTCTACTTCAAGGTCCTTCCCTTCCAAGACTGTTTCTCCATCTTCTGACAATTTCACGTTGTTCTAGAGAAAGATATTACTCCCAAAGGTTCCAAAGTGCTCGGGGCAATAGAACGGACCTCGTGGACGAGTGCCTTGCCAATGTACTTAGTGTGGTCTACGCAATGGATGAGATAGATGGCCATAGTGTCACCAATATTTTTTACTTACACCCATATGCAACAAGATCCCCTGTCGCATTCTTGAACTCTGTCCGTGTGTATGCCAAGGATTTACCTGAAGACATATGAACATAACAGTCATATACAGGCGAGGGCTTTATGATACGTACCCATACCAGTCAAATGAGACGTTGCATATACTATATCACCCGGTCTTCCAGCTGGACGGACGAAGGATGCACCAATGTCGGTGCTTACCCCGGTCATCCCTATCAAAATACAATCAGTACACTGCAACGCGAGAAGAAATTAGAATCCAAACAATATCCTTTGGTAGCAACGACCAGCGACCCCATGGTGTCTGTCAGTGACATGATAAGACCACCGTGTGCTAAAGGAGGTTAAGCCAGAGACTCGGATAGGTAAACCGATGGAAACACAAATACCGGTCTGATACGGCGATTCAAGTTTAGATCGGGTTAAGTAGTATCCAATCCAGAACTTACCCCGACACGATTGACTGTGTTCATGCGGTTAAGTAAATCAGAAATAGGGTGTCCGATAAGCAGCATACTGTTGTAAGGTTCTATCTTGAGCGAGGCCTTCACAACTCCTGGTTCTGCATGTTCTACAATGAGCTGACCCAAATGACTTAAATAAGAGTATGAGTAAAGGAGCAAGAGACGAACGTTCGGGAAACATTGCGCGTCATGTCCTGTCGAAGTACTTTAGTATCAATGAGAAAAGAGAGAAAATACTAACCCTTGTTTACAACAAAAGACTTCCACACCTACACATTTCAGTTAGTACACATAGTAAAGGTTCTGAACAACAGACACTACCCGACGAGTAAACCGTAGACAAGCAGCCATGGTCGCAGTAATGATACCGGAGGTTCGGGGCCGAGCGGAAGTCTTTCGTGAATGGTCTGTCGGACTAATTCGGCCGACTTCAACTTGCTTCGTCCACGATGAGTTCACTCCGGCAACGTATCACTAGGCCATTCCGCGACGACGACGACGGCGACAATCATATTCTTGATCAACAAGGTTGCTTTGTATCCTTTTCACATAAAAGCGATCTGACCCGATACCAGAGCAAGAAGAGCTGATCAGCAAATTGCGCATTGAGAACGCCCAATCTGATGTTCAAGTCATCCGTGCTACTCAAGTCGTTGTCGTTCTGTCAGCTATCGCCCACTTTTTCTTCCTCTTCACAACTGCTCCGGCGCTCACTCTCCTGGTCTTGCTGATCCACGTCAATCTGTTACTGCACATTCACCACGTCGCTCAAGTTTCTTACCAGCTGACGTACGCTCTATCGTTGGTTGCGCCGACACTCTATCTTTTCTTGGGATCACCAGTAGCATGGTGGTGCTTCACACCTGTGGTTGTCTTCATAGTTCAGAGCATCCAGGATGGTATAGATCGAGGAACGGAAAGCATCGCGGCCCTTGAGTCTATGAAATATCATGCACTCGGTGCGTAAGCGTCGTTGTCAGTGTTGTATATGGTGGCTGTGAACTATCCGGAAGGTATGTCGCATTCATTGGTAGATGGCAAACTGTTTTGAACGTTTAGACCATAATAGCACGTTCATTAAACAACTGGCAACATGCTTCGTTCACGGTTCCTGTGCTCGTACCTGTTGATATCCATCTGTGTTTGCTTCCAGGTCCGGATATCGTGCCTCGCTTCAATGGCTATCCAATGACCTGGGTTCGTCAAGCCCTGCGGCCCTCCATTTAGGATGTCCGCATAGCGTTGCCTGATGCTCCCTGGAGTCGGTAGTTTTGATCTTGACATGCTCTTGATGGCAATCAACGTTTTCCGATGCGGATGTGCGTCCTCACCGCTCCAATCTTGAGAGGTTGTTACACACATCCATATGGAACGCTGAAGAAAGAAAGAAGGGCGAATCAGTGTGGCTTTGATATTCGAAATCGAAGATACAATTCAAGTACTTATCCATTGTCGTGACTTGATCCGGTCTATCCCGGATTTCAGTCTTGGCTCGACCTCTTCCTTGTGTTTCCCATAATGATATGCGATGCGGATCAATCATTTGTTCAATGCAACAAAGTAAAAACAGTCCTCCTTATATGACTAAAAGTAAGTGTTCAATACCATGTACTGTCAATCGCTTATCATTTCAGCTGGTTATTTTGACAGCGCGGATCTTCAGCAAATTGGAAGTTCTTTGTGTGTTTTCTTTTGGCTTTCGCTCCAAATAATAATCAGTCCGCGAAATGCCAAATTTGGACTGGTATGGTCTCGGAATTAGCTGCTCCCGATCCACGACTCAAGTATGATTAAACAGCGGAACTACTCACGCCTTCAAATCCAGCGATTCGTTACTTAGGTCCTTGGTTCCGCCGAGGTGAGATACTAGGTGTGAATAAAATGGGTACCGTATGGGTAAGTCCCTGTAGTCGACCACAGACATACCTTGATACTCACACAGATACGAATCTTTCCCTCTAGGTCTTGATATCCGTCTGAGACCATTGATACAGTGCCTAACTGCGTGCTTCAATCGACGAACGTTGCGATAGAGGAGACGGCATGTTCCCTAAACAGACATACGACGGGCGGTATATGCAATTTCCATTCAACTTTGGTATTCTGTCGCTCAACGAGATGGATTATTCATGTGCTCGTAATTTTTTCTTGAACGTCATACAGTTGGCGGCTGAAAAGTAGTCCTAGAACTGCCGGAAGTCAATTAGACGGAACTTCTTCAAATCAGAAACCGACTGCATGGAGAAGCTCTCATTCCACATGCGCGTCTCTTCTTGAATCGGATTGGATAGATGTTCAGTTCGCACCCTGTCGTTGGTGAATTAGGAGCTCAGCCTCTTCGGGACTATTCTACAGTTTAAAAGCAAAACGGCTCTCCAATGTGATCTTTACCTCGTCCAGCCATGAGCAGCGTCGCTCCCGTTCCTCTCAGCAGCGCTCCTCTTCCGCCCAGTCCTGCGGAAACGGTTGTATCCCAGGCGTCCTCGAAGGCAGGCAGTCTCGCCGATGAGAAACTGGCAAATCCTATGGGATGGCTATGAGGACGACGAGATTCCTGACAAGGTCCAGCCTCGTTTGGTGCGAAACGCGAGGCTCCAGGCATTCTCGATCTACCGTCGTCTATTCTCAGTGGCGTTCATTACCAACATGGGAATCTTCATCTCGTACGCGATCAGAGGATACCACTTCCCAGAAGATTGCCTTGGTCACCGTCGCGAATATATTCATTGCTATTCTCATGAGGCAGGAACTCGTAATCAACACTCTCTTCCTTATCTTTTGCTCGGTCCCGAAGTCGTAAGTCTTTCTTTCTTCGTCGGTTTGTTACCTTTATTCTGACTATCTAATCTTTAACCCGCAGCTGGCCTTTCTTCATTCCGTAAAACCGCTGCGAGAGTGTATCACCTTGGAGGCATTCATTCGGGCACTGCATCCTCGGCGGTAGTATGGCTCATTCTTCTCGCCGTACAAGCTACACGAGAGCGTGTTAACAACAGAGGGGTAAGTCAGATTCCTAATTCGTTTCCTTCTATACATACTGATATTGGTTCTCTTCAGACATCCACGGCGACCGTAGTGCTCACTTATATCATCCTGTTTCTCTTGGTTGGCATCGTTCTATTTGCGTACCCGGCACTCCGAATAAAGCGCCATGACGCATTTGAACGTGTACACCGTTTCTTGGGCTGGACGGCAACTGCACTCGTTTGGGCACAGGTCAGATTTTAATTAAAATTCATTGCCTATTATTCAACGCATATTTACAGGTCGTCTTGTTGACCAACGATTACAAAGGCGACAAGTCGTTGGGTTCTGCCCTTGTGCACTTGGCCGCCTTTTGGTTGATGATCATCCTGAGCTTGTCCCTCATTCTTCCCTGGACACATCTCCGGAAGGTCCCGGTTAACAGCGTTGTGCTTTCGAACCACGCTGTCCAACTCTTTGTTGACTACGGTGAGGTTGTTTCCCATTGTCCTTTTGTACGGCTTCTGATCATCACTCAGGCCCACACCCTGTTCCTGGGTCTTTCCAACGATTTTCTACCGACCCTTTGAACGAATGGCATAGCTTCGCTACCATTGCAGTACCAGGGAAGCCTGGCTTCTCTATCATCATTTCTCAAGCTGGTGACTGGACTACGGAGATGATCACTAATCCACCGAAGGAGATCTATGTGCGTGGTATGCCCACGTGTGGTGCTCTTCGCATTGTTCCTCTTTTCCGGCGGGTTCTATTCGTGGCGACTGGAAGCGGTATCGCGCCGTTCATGCCGCACATTATGAGTGGAAAGGTCGACCATAAACTGTTTTGGATGGCTCCCAACACGAGGGCGACATTTGGCGATCCGCTGGTGAACTCTGTTTTGGAGAATAGTCCCGGAGCTGTTGTTTATGGTGTGTTGGCAAATGTTTTTGTCCCTGGCTCACACTAATTTGATACTTCTTTCAGACACCCGCAAGCATGGTAAACCTGATATCATCAAGATCACGAACCGTTTTGTAGACGAGTTCCAGCCGGAGTGTGTCTGTGTGATCTCGAATCAGAAGTTGACGGAGAAAGTCATATATGGCCTTCGCAGCCGAGGCATTCTCGCCTTCGGAGCCATCTTTGACTCTTGATAGACGCATGGCATGACTGGAGCATGCATATGCACGAGTATTTTCATAGATTTCCATTACCACGATCTCCATTATTTTCCGAGAGCTCTGTAATCAGTAGACAGCGATTACTTATTATGATTACCTTCCTTACAATTATAGATGCAGACTTGTCGTTGCTTTTCGCAGCACGGTAGTAAGATGACCGAGCATTGATTCGGTAACCAGCGGTCACTGTGATGCTGATGTTACACCTCGAGATTACCAAGGTCCAACTGCCATCCCATTTCAACTTCGGTCAAGTAGCAGCAATGCGTCCCAGCTTGAAACGCCCCTGCGCCCTTTCAGTCAGATTTCTTGATGCTTCCAGTGTTTCATGTTCTGCAAACAAGTTTATATTCCAGAGGCCATCAGCAGGAATGGCTCAAGAAGAATGCCAGAGAAGGTGTGACGTGGCGCTTGGTATCAAGTTTCACTCGATCAACTTTACCACTTTACCACTTTACCATGTACTGCCGTCAGTCATTAACTAATGGACCCTAGGTCAATTCTCAAGCAATCTAACTCTCTCATGCCTGGATCCTGGAATGCGCGGCAGTATGGTGAGTATTTCAATACCCAAGCTTTGGGTTTTTGTGTGCAGGGCCACTCTCCTGCAAGTCCGACTCGGATTCCATGAAGAGCCTGTCTCTAACCATCATGGTTTTGTCGTGGTAGGTACTGCCACCGCGTTTTCTTTTTTGACCGTGCTTCGGAGAACAGGAAAGAACCGGCTGACTGTTCGCTAAGGGCCCCTCTTGGCGTGATTCCTGATGCGTACCAGTCAGATGTATATCACCCGCAATAGGGCAGGTAGTGGGCGCCGATGTAGGTGTGTATGTCATTCTTTGCGGTGATCTACTGATCCCCGCCCTGACAGAGCCTGACACTGATATTCAGATACAGTAGATCACCGACGAAACACTGCATTTTGCAGGGCTTGGATACATCGCTATCGTAAATGTGTCTTCTCGAGAAAGCTGTCCATCTTTCTTCAGGATTGAACTCAAAGAATGCGCTAGCATAGCTGCTTGGGATCCCATAAGTAACAGCTATCCTGCTATAAGCCAAGACGGTCACACGCCAACATCATACTTTCGGTACTCGTGTGAGAGGCAGCGTGTAAATCACTGATTGTGCACTTGATGCTTCCATTTCAGTGATTGCTCTTTCTCTACAACGAAATGCCAGATTAAAGAATGAATCGTCCTGCTGGAGGAATTCTCGGACGTTATGTTGCTGCATGCATCGTGCGTTGACCAATGTTTTCCTATTCTAGTGCCTGGTTGAAGAAATCTACAGTTATCCAATCTTGACCAGTTGCAGTGCACAGCGATAGACGTTGCTGATGATCTCCGGGGACCCGCCTCTTCTATCCAACACCTAATCCTCACCGGTCGTGACCGACTCGGAAAATCGCCTCTTTAAAAGCATGCCCATACTCTCCAATGTTTCTTCAGTCAGCTCACGATGGATCCCAACACTCATACAGTCGAGCTTACCCACTCCGCTTCCACCAGTACATCCTCTCTCCCAAACAGTCCCACCGAGACCGTCGTTCATCACTCTCCCGAAAAGTCCACATCAACCGTCACCGTCCTCGACGCTGAAAAGCAGGTCAATCCATGGGACGGCTACGAGGAGGATGAAATGCCCGAAAAGATCCAGCCGCGCCTGGTGCGCAATCTACGGCTGCAGGCCTTCTCTATCTACCGGAGACTATTCTCGGTCGTGTTCTTAACGAACATGGGTATCTTCATCTCCTACGCAATTCGTGGATATCATTCTCAGAAGATCGCGCTCGTCGCCGTTGCGAATATATTTATTGCTATTCTCATGCGGCAGGAACACGTTATAAACGCGCTTTTCGCAGTCGCATGTTCTGTTCCTCAGTCGTGAGTTCTCTTTACCTAATAGGTGTGAGTGCTTTCGGTTGATTGACGCGTCTTTTCAGATCGCCCTTCTTCATTCGTAAGACGGCTGCGAGGGTGTATCACAATGGAGGCATCCATTCTGGTGCTGCTGTTTCGGGTACAATCTGGCTCGTCCTTTTGGCGGTCCAAGCGACTAGAGAACTCGTTCAAGGCAAAGAGGTACGTTTCCGCTTGAGGTAATTGTTCGCTTGATTCTAAATGACTGGTGTATTTCCAGACTTCGGTGGCGACCGTGTCACTGACGTACATTGTCCTTGCCTTCTTAGTTGGGGTCGTTGCATTTGCTTACCCCACCTTCCGAGTCAAGCGCCATGACGCGTTCGAACGCATGCATCGGTTCATGGGGTGGACTGCGACTGCATTGGTTTGGTCTCAGGTACATTTATCGCTCACTCAGATATCTATGTTCATTCTGACACATCGATTGCAGGTCGTCGTCCTCACCAATGATTACAAGGGGGACAAATCTCTCGGACACGCCTTGGTACACTCTGCTCCGTTCTGGCTCATGATGGTGTTGAGCTGGTCCTTGATTCTTCCATGGACGAAACTGCAAAAGGTTCCTGTCCGAAGCGTCGTCCTCTCCAACCATGCTGTCCGTCTCTTCGTCGACTATGGCCAGTCATTCTTACACCGTCTCCTGAAAGTCTCTGACTCCGTTTCACTTAGGTCCACATCCCGTTCCGGGCTCTTTCCAACGGTTCTCCACGGATCCGCTCAATGAATGGCACAGTTTTGCCACGATTGCTGCTCCTGGAGTGACCGGTTACTCGATTATCATATCTCAGGCAGGCGACTGGACGACGGAGATGATCACGAACCCACCGAAGGAGATCTGGGTGAGGGGTATCCCGACGTGTGGTGCGCTTCGGATTGTGCCTCTGTTCCGGAGGGTGCTGTTCGTTGCTACCGGCAGTGGTATTGCACCGTTCACGCCTCACATACTGAGTGGTAAGATTGAGCATAAGCTGTTTTGGATGGCACCGAATACGCGTGCAACATTTGGAGACCCGTTAGTTGATGATATATTGGCGGCGAGTCCTGGTGCGGTGGTGTACGGTATGTAGAAAGTTTTCTTAGTCGCAGATAGGATCTGATGAGGTTATCAAAGATACGCGAAAGCATGGGAAGCCCGACATCGTCAAGCTCACGAACCGTCTTGTGGATGAATACAAGCCGGAATGTGTTTGTGTTATTTCCAACCAGAAGCTGACGGAGAAAGTGATTTATGGTCTTCGAAGCAGAGGTATACTCGCATTTGGGGCTATTTTCGACTCATAGACATCTTTCGATATCTGTCTCCTCCCTCTCTCGCTTAACATATAATGTCCCTCCAAAGCCTGACATAGTGTACTCATTGCGTCTGCGACACGATGAGAAGTATATAGAAAACCCTTAGGGCCATTCGTAGATGTAAAGAAGTCTTCTACTCCACTTAATTGAAATTAATCATGTAGTGTTCATTTCTTCATTTTGAACTCGGGTGCCTAGGGAGGTCTGTGGCGACCGATGAAGAGCTTTTCATTTACATACGACTAATCAAAGTTCGTGCCTGAAGGCCTGACATATGTCCTTTCGATCTACTTTGTAGCGTGAGTGTGCAATAATTTCACCCTCTCTTGAAGTATCATCACTGGGGTGTAGACTGCGAATATAGAGGTAATATGGTCCTACGGTCCGTCTAAGAGACTATCCGTATCGATGCAAATGTGATTCTTTCATGGAGATACAGGTGGCTCTGCCCGATAGTATCTCGTAAGAATTGAGTCCATCATGGACCCTGCGTTCCAGTGTCGGGCATTGGGGCGATGAGATTAATTTCCGAGAGGAAAGTACCGATCCCCGTGTCCGGCGCCACCTGATTCTAGACCTGTTGTGACGACGTGTAAAGGTTCGCCTTTATTATCTGGCGAAGATGTTTTTGAGAAATCAATACTCCAGGTGGGCGATTGCGAAGGGCATTTCGGTACAGGTTTCTTGCGCAAATCGTCCCGACGCCAGAAACACCATACTCGGAGTACGTCCGCTTGAGTTCCGAAGACGAGGAAAACTACAGTTCCCACTTTTATATATCACTTCGTTAGAGATAGAGGAATGAGAACTAGGCCCGGCTCACTCGTCGCTAAGTACATTTCTCCGATAAATGTGTGATCATTGAACATAGCAACGAAGTCGATCCTAGGTCATTGGTGAGTGTTGTGAATAGTGATGACGTTAAGGACTAGACATACACTATGCCAAAGAGAATATACAGCCCGAATACCAGAACGCGAAGCAATAATGCCACATAGAGCCCAGTGGAATGTCGAGCCTGTCGCATTCCACGGTAGTTGCGGTAGATAAATATAGCAAGGTAGACTATCAGGAAAGACCCATTAAATTCTGAGGTTTGTTGTGTACGAAACACGTACTTTCAAGAGAAACAATGGCGACACAAACTATGGAGGTGAACAAGCTCATAGCATTGTAGCTAGAAAATGCCATGAATTTACGAAGGGATGCAGACAAGGAAGCTTACAGAGGTAAGTATACCAATGTACAGTATAGTTTTCTGTGGTGGCGAGATACTAAGTCTGGATGGGAGAGAGATATAACAAGGGCTGCAATGCTAAACGAGCATTGTACCAAATAAGGAACCGACAGCATCTACATTTGTTGAGTGCATACGCAAGGTTAGAAAAATATGGTAGACGTACTACAACCATCCTCCCCTTACCGACGGTTGGATAATCATATCCTCCAATAGTAGTGACCGTCATATGATACACAAAAACTAAAATTGCGACCGACCACATGGGTGTGATCCCGTACAGCAGTGATGTCTGTGCGATACAAAGGGGTTTCGGTGGCTCCGGTGAATCTGGTTCATGCTTCCCGGCGTAGAACAGTAAAAGAGAGAAGATCCCAGAAAATATCCAGGTCATGCAGAGGTTAATGAGCGTCGGATGCCGACCAGCACGGGTCGAGAACAGAAAGGTAAGGACAAGAAGCGGCAGTAATATAGTGTTCGAAATTAAATTGAAATAGATCCAGATACCCAATAGCACCGGAGGGACAGGACCCATGTCGGAAAAACCTGTCCGTTGAGAGACGTTAGCTAACTTTTGTAGATGAGTTGGATTACACACCAGTGAGGATCCATAGAAGCCGTAGTAGTGATGATATGAGACTACGACTATCCTAGTACTGCAACGCAAACAAGAATAGAAAAAGAGCCTGCTCTTGCAGTTGACAAATGAATGAGGGCTGGGAATCTGCCAGCAGAAGAATCGAGGTAGGAGGGCCACGAATTCGTGGATGAAAGATCAGGAAGGAGGTAAAGGTGCCATCATTGCCTGCATAGGCTAGCTGATATCTTCCCATTGCTTTCAACACTCGTTCGAGTTGGAATGATCAACTTGAAAGCAACGAACTCCGATCAAACACAGCCCCAGGTCCGCTGCGGGATTCGGCCCGAGGGATAGGTTTACATGAATTAAAATTTCCAAGAGCAAGAACCTCGTGCTAGCGACCATCCGTCGCCGTAAGTCGCCTCAACTGGATTTTATATTCCCTTCTGTATGTCTCCCGGCCTTGTTTTTTTTGTCAGCTTGTAATTGGCGGCCGTCCTTTGGCCATCCTTGATGCCAACTTCCCGTTCGAATTATAATCCATATGGACACAGAAGCGATAAGCATTGTTGGTAACCCAGCCTCAGAGTGATCGTGGACCGCTGTGTATTCTGGGGAACTCGATCAGTTTCATCGCTTGAAAACTGACAGCGAAGCGACCTACTATTTAACAGCAGCTCATAAAAATAGAAGCCACCTCTTTCATATATTATGACCGTCATCAACGATGAGCTCGTCGAAACCATCTACGGGGAACTCGTTCGTCTCCACGTATCTACTGGCAACAGCCAGAGCTGGCGTCAGTTCGCTGTTGACCTCTCTTTAATTGCCCTCTCGGTCCGGTCAGTGCTTGTCCAATAGCATTGTTACTTGACCTTGCCGAGGCTCGTGGAAACTGATGCAGATCTTTCACAGGACGGGGTATTTGGTAGATACGTTCGCTACCAGGACTGTCTTTAAAAAATTGGTGATTGCTCTTCGCGAGGTACTTTCATTCCTCTACTTCCTACATGCACAAGTCTGACTCATCTGTTCCAGAAAAGTCCACTATTTAAGGATGTTGTCCATCTCTACGAACCTACTGCGGATCAGTCATTTTTCATCAACATCCCCCGCTTTCAATCTCGGGCTCCGGAATTCCGTGATACTATCTACGTGTCTGTCTCGGGCCACCTAATGTCCCCCCCAGAGAATGTTTTGAACACTCTTCGAAGTATCGAGATCCACGCCACCGATATCTCCTGTACCCTTCCTTCTGACCTTCCTGTGGATATAACAGTCCCCCTCGCGGCGGTTCTCTTGGAGTACCCCATCGCTTATGTCCCACATGGCGTAATACCGCCAGAACGCCAGAGTCTCGATGTTTACGAGTGCCTTCTTCCAGGAAGAGTGACAATTGTCAAGTTTTCCTGTCCTTCTTCCTTGGTGAGCCGCGAAACAATCATCAGGAGCCTGCATTCGCGGTTCGGTATAGATGCTGAGGTGAAGTGCACGTCCGAGACAGTGGATAGGCTGGTTCTATAATATTAGCAAGCCTACAATTGGCTTCTATTCTTTCATGTTACTCTATCTGGAGCAACCGATATTATCGGCGCACCAATTTAATCCTGTACTTATTTTTCTTTATTATGCATCAGGCGCGCATCCGACGTTCACATCACGTTGCGCCGAGCCGGTAGATCATTATAACAAAAGGTACTTTTATAGGTCGATACTCGTAAACCACTTACGAGTCCGTGATACAGCCCCGACTGGCATCCGTCACTGTCTTGACGTACTTGTACAATGTTCCCTGTGAAACCTTCAAAGGGGGTGGCACCCAACCTTTTTTCCTCTCCTCCAGCTCCTCATCTGAGACGTGGAGCTCAATTGTATTCTTCACGGCATCAACAGAAATGACATCCCCATCTTGGACGAAGGCAATAGGCCCGCCCACCTGGGCTTCTGGAACAACATGGCCGATACAGAAACCGTGGGATCTAGAAACACAGCCATATCTTAAAATCTCGGAAAGGCCATATATGCAGTAATTGCTTACCCCCCACTGAATCGTCCGTCCGTTAGACACGCCACATCGAGCCCTAGGCCAGCACCCATGATGAGACTCGTCGGCTTTAACATCTCGGGCATACCTAGCAAAATAAGGGTGACATTCTAAATCAAACCGGATGGTATTACTTACCAGGACCACCCTTGGGACCTAGATACCTGAGAATGACCACCGTCTTCTCGCCCTTCTTGATAGAGCCACTCTCCACAGCGTGGACAAAGTCGGACTCATTGTCGAATGTCCGTGCTTTACCGGTGAAACTGAGCCCTTCTTTACCTGTGATCTTGGCAACGGCACCTCCGGGAGCGAGATTTCCTCGCAGTATCCTAATTTGCAAATCTGTTTCATGATGCAGGTCATAAAGGTAGATATTACGGTACCTAAGGTGCCCTGTTGACTTGATAGGTTTGTCCAAAGGCCGGATAACGTCCTGCGTCGAATCTAGCTCGCCGTATTTGTGTGTCCATCGGTCGAGATTCTCCCCGAGAGTACGGCCTGTGACGGTCATATTGTTCCCGTCAATAAGTTTGTGCTTAAGGAGGAATGCAAGAATCTCTGGTGTGAAAAGTAGTCAGCTCGTACTTAGAACGGTGAAAAGCAGAAAGCATACTAGGAATACCACCGATTTTGTACACATCCTCCATGACATATTTTCCACTAGGTTTTATATCAGCGAGGAAAGGCGTGCGATCTGAGACAGCCTGGAAGTCATCAATGGTTAGGGTGATACCAACAGAATGGGCAATGGCAATCAGATGTAGGACGGCGTTAGTTGAGCCACCAAGAATCATTGTCAAGACCTATGGGAAAAAAACTTAGAAACCGCGCGCAGGACATAGGAGCTACAATACATGCCATCGCATTTTCAAAGGCGGAGCGTGTCATAATATCCCGCGGAAGTATGCTCTTTGAGATCAAGTCGTACATGGCTGATCCCACGGAGGCTATTTCCTCGTGTTTTTCTCGAGATTCAGCCGGGAAAGAGGATGATCCGGAAAGCGTCATGCCCATGGCTTCCGACGCGCTAGCCATTGTGTTCGCAGTGTACATCTAGAATAGAATAAGCCCGAGATGCCATGACGATAGAAGATGAAACGTACACCACCACAAGCTCCGGGACCAGGGCACGCGTGTCGAATGGTGTTATAACGCATCTTTTCGGCTGCGGGAGTCATTCCATCCTGCAAGTATTTGCCATACGCCTGGAATGCAGAGACCAGATCCAGTTGGGGAGCACCCTCACAAGAGCCTGGTCGTATTGTTCCACCGTACACCATGAGGCCAGGTCGATTAAGACGCCCAACTGATGCTAGTAAGTACACATTATATCACGACAAAAAATATACTAACGAGCCATTAAAACGCCGGGCATATTTTTATCACAACCCGGTATTACCACCATACCATCAAGATGATGCCCACCGGCGGCAGACTCGACCTGGTCGGCAATGAGGTCGCGTGATGGGAGGGAATAAGACATTCCGCTTGTGCCCATGCTAATGCCATCGCTGACGCCGACGGTACCAAACTGGTACCCGATGAGATCTGCTTTTTGCAAGGACGCTTTGACCTCTTGTCCGAGACCCAAGAGGTGTTTGTTGCATCTGACAAAGAGGTGGAGACAATGGGCAACAAGCGGGTGAGATGTCTTACGGGTTCCCTTCGTACCTATCAGAGGCCGAGAATTAGTCAGAGCGTAAGATTGAGTGAAACGAATGGCCCACCAGACACTGGCTACTCCAACCATCGCCTTATTGAAATCTTCATCAGATGAGATTTCGTCCGTCGCGTAAAGCATGGCCTATACAAGTCTCTGAGATTTTCCATTCTGACTCACAGAGTGAATAGAATACCTGGCTTGCACCTTGGTCTTTTGGTTGGGTAACGACCCGACTGTACTTGTTCATAATAGGTTTGTCGCGACATGCTGCCGACGACCAGAACGACCTTGTAGACCGTCCCAGAGAGGGTCTATGTCTGAACATCATCGCGTCGAGAAAAGTCTGAGTCTGAGTCTAAATTCGGTCCAAAATGGACAAGATTTTTGGTTCATTCTCCGTTACGTAATCTTTGCACCAAATTGTACGTAATTTAAGCTTCCTCGGCATCAACTCATGCTCCGGACTTCCTTTTTGGTTTAATATCCCCTGTTCGACAAGAGATTATTCAATTTCAATCTTTTGTCTATAGGTCGTCCGCTGTCGTTCCTTCTTCGGCTTGTGTGTATTCTAGACATAAATCTAGTTCGATAAATTGAATATATGAACGAGTTTTTTTTGTTTCGAACCCGTGGCGATCTTTTTGACTCCACGGGTGGGCAGACGCATCGAAAAACATCCACGGTGCGAAGTGGAATAAAGTTGGATACCAGTCTCTGGGGCCTGTTTTACTCAAAAGAGTATCAGGGGAGCTTAGATTGGCTGAACGATCCCCCAAAAATCGATCGTGTTTCAGCTACAAACCAATCATAGCATTTATCGCGAATTTGAGGGGCTCATGAGGGAAAGGAAATGACCAACAAATATGGGAGATGAGGTCCAGAATTTTGCAATGAGGACGCGAGAAAATGGGGAGTAATTACAAATGATTTTTCATGAGGGTTTTTTCATAGTAACTTTAAACGAGAGGTTGACCTTCAACATCCGCGACATCCCTTTTTTCCTTTTTCATTCAGGCGGGCGGAAGCATACGCTGGGTGAGACGTATGGGATTGTCGGGCTGCATTTAATTGGTGCCTTTATTCCTCCGCAACCGTGATCGTCATCCGACTCCTGCAAACGGCAGTATATGAGACGCTTCGATTGTTTGTTTCTGCTCTTTCGACTCTCCCAGCTCTAGTCTTTCAATAGTCAGGCCATTAGCTGCGCACTCTCTTCCACCCTCCTATGGATGGCAAAGACCGAGGCGACAATTCTGGCAAGCGAAGTTCTCTGCCAAGCAGTCTAATTCCCCATCTATATACAAGCCCACAGAAAGCCAGGAACAGCTCTACTAGGACGACGCTCCCTGAAGCTGGGGACGACGAAGACATGGAGTCGGAGCATCCTGGGCCCTCACCACCGCCCCTTTCTCACCGTTCTGCCACCACTCCTTTATCCTCTGGGTCGTATCCCTCAAACGTACCACGTACTGTGCACGCATTTGGGAGCTACGAGGCGGGTTGGCAAGGTGACCCCTCTGCGCCGCCTGGCCTCAGTGGTTCTTCTTCCATTCCACATGGTCCACCTAGTCGACGAGCCGACGAAGGCCAAGACACGGTCGCTGCTCGTCGTGGCACCCCGACTTCCTTCGCTGTCCGGGCCGGCGCTCCTCCTGTATCCTCCGTAGCTTACCCCGCCGACGTGCACCGTCCATACGCGGGATACGAGACGGCGGTGTGGCAAGAAAGTCCTGCGGGATCACCTGCGCCAGCTCGTCCCAGTGGCTCTTCTTCCGTTTCGCATGGTCAGCCCATCCGAAGTGACCCGGCGTACTATGTCTCCAGTTCTAGGGGACCCTCTGGCGGGTACACTCTGCAGCATTCACCTGACTACGCTCCTTGGCGGGAGGGGGAAGCTGGACCGTCTCACGCACACTACGACGCCAGAGGTGGAATGAGACAAAGGTATGCTCCTGAGCCGCAACCTAGTCCGTCTCGTGGAATGGGACACTACGAACAGGTTTATAGAAGGGATTCTGTGCCTCGAAGTGAACCGCCAGTCCCGTCTCATGGAATGAGTCAATACGACGAACGCGCCGCGGTGGGGTACCGCAGGGAACCAATCCCAAGAGATACATATATGGGTGGCGGGCCTCCGGTCACTCATTGTACGTGGTTACCCATTTATGTCGCTGCGCGTCAGGTAGAGCTGACTGATATTTAGACAGTCCGTATAGTGTGAGGCCTCAGTATCAAGAAATATCACCCTCGCACGGAATACGCGCCGGACCTGAGAACTTATACAGTGAGGTGCTTCCTCCACGACAAGTGCCGGCTTACATCCTCCCTCCCATTGCTGCGCCTAGTGGACTGTCTGAAGAGGTCTCTAGTAGCGGTACTGATGACGACGGTGATGGCGAATACACCCCAACCAAATCCCGGCGAGGCAAAAAGCGTGTGAGAAGCACAAGCCCCGGAGGAGACGATTCGAGACGAAAGAGTGTCAAAAAGACACTTATAGCCTGTGATTTCTGCCGCGGTAAGTGTCGAAGTGAAGAAGGTTGTTGTTATATATTCAATACAAGTTATGTTAGGACGGAAACTACGCTGTGACGGAGCGAGACCGTCATGCATGAATTGCACGGCTCGAGACAACCGGCCTTGTGTATATCAGTCGACCCCGAAACGACGTGGACCGGGCAAGAATCCTAAGCCAAAAACCCCCAAGACGAAGAAAAGAAGCAGTACGAGGGCGCGAACGAGCGAAAGTGTGCGTGCCGAGGGACCATCATCATCGGTAGAGGATTTTGATATGGCAAGCTCGGCGTCCGAGCGCCAAAGAGCGTCGCCATCTCCCGAAGAAGTCAATCAGTCGGATCCGTCTGAGGTGACGGCAACGGGTCCGAGTCTGTACCTAACAGATGATAACTCCATGGCACCACGAGGATCTCAACGGAATGTACGACGTGGAATAGTGACACCGTCGCCACCAGGGAAGAGGGGAAAGAAATAGGCAAAAAAATGGTGGGATACTATTATAGTCTGGCAGGAGGTAGGTATTATCCTAATGGCGGTACCGCGGTCGGTATAGGCGGCCTGGGAAGCGCATTCGGGGAAGATTCCCGCTCCCGTTGGTTCTGGATCATTTGCAAAGGCCGCTAAGGGCCATTACAGTTGGTTGCAGTTTCGCCCAGTTTCCCCACATTCATATCCCCCTGTCCACCAATGACAGATCCTCCCGATTCTATTTACGTATTCCGTTGCTATCCGCTCTTTTCTTAGCCATTTATATGCGCACTCCGGACGCATGCCTACGGCTCTCACGATATGATTACCCCGAAATCGGTTATTTCACAGCTCTACCTTAGTTGTAGCGACAGTTTTATAGTGTTGCTGTATATTGTTTAGGATAGGCGAAACTAATAGTATAGAAAAGCCTGGACTGCAGGCGTAATACAAGCTGCGAGCGGGAGCGCAAAGGGGAGATTGGATTTGGACCTTGGTTTCCTCCGATTGGTTCGGTGGGAATTAGCATGTGTCGGTTCTTCATCAGAGTTTTCAAAATCACCGCGCTGAGCAGGGACCCTGGGCCGTTGTGGTCTCTCTCCGTTCCAGCGTCACGTAGCGCCGACGGTTCGCTGAGAGCACTGAGGACGGCGCGATGATGATAGCTGAACACCGGATTCAGGACGAGCGAGCGGGGTCTGCCGCCGGAAGTCACCTCCAGCCCAGCCTTGCCCTTCCAAGTCATGTCACTCACGTCGGATCTGGCCTTGATGCGCCCGGTACGCGGTTTGCTTCTCTCCACCATCTACATGGTTGCTTACAGCCATGGCTGACCCAGCCGCTCCTTCCTTAGAATTTACCTTGCTCGTCGCTGGCTCTCGTGGAGGTCAGTATTCTTCTTCTTTATCCTGCTCAGATACCTCCTTATTCCGTCTCGGATCAGGCAAGACCTCTTTCCTGCGTCTCTTACTCGATACCTTCAATGTCTCGCACAGTGCGACCCAGGACCAGCTCACTTCGGTCGCAAAGTTCGTTCAGGGGTGCAGCGGCCGTACTTCTCACATTCGCTCTGCTTCTATTGATGTAGTCCTTGACCTCGACGGCAACGGCCCGCTCCGGACGCTCACCCTGCATCTCGTCGACACTCCTTCGCTCGATTTTAGGGATGAACAGCCCGCTGAGAGGCTTGTGGCGGACACTCTCAGATACGTAGAGTCGCGCTTTGCAGAGTCTATTGAAGACGTGAGCGCCTATTATTTCTTGCCTTTGCTGGCACCTCCTCAAACAATATCTCCATCATTACAGGATCGCAACCCCTCCACCACCGACCGCTATGTTCATCTGTGCGTATTACTATAATTGTCCCGTCGACGCGTCCTGAACGCCACATTTACAATATGACAGGTGTCTATATTTTCTTGACCCGGATCAAATTGTACCATCACAGATACCTGCGCCGCTCGCGCCGCCTCGTGCTCGTGCAAACAGCTTTTCACAGCCTGACCATGACCCCCTCATTCTCGAGCTCCCCGTTGCCAACAATCCTCTCTTGACACGACCCACTTTACCCTCCGCCGACATTAATACCATTCGCCGTTTGTCAACACGAGTTAATGTCCTACCTGTTGTCTCACGCGCAGACATCCTCTCCAATGACCGGCTGGCCGCTGTCAAAATGGCTATACGCAGAGATCTAGCTGCGGCTGGCATTGGTTTCGGAATATTCGACGATGCCTACCACAGCCATCCGGGTAATATCTCGCCTAGCAATGGTGAATTGACCAATGGCTACGTAAATGGTACCAGCTCTGCCACCAGCTCCCCTCCATCTTCTCCCGTCACATCCTCTTTGAGACTTCCTTACGCTCTGATTTCGCCGGATATATATTCCCACAGCGACGGAGTTCCCAGGATACCTATGTCACGGCAGCAGCTCGTTCACCAGTACACTCCCTCTTACCATTCCCCTCCAAAACTCGTCCGAGGAAAATACATTCGCAGTTATCGCTGGGGTTCTCTGGATGTTTTAGACCCATGTCACTGTGACTTTCTGCATCTGCGCAATGCTATTTTCCACCACATGGAGGTAAGTCGCTCGCGCCCGGGTCCCTGCACCCGTCTGATGTGATCTCAGACTTTGCAGACGTATACGCGGGACTATCTATTCGATAAGTTCAAGCTTGAATACCTGCAGACCTCACGCCCTTCACTGTCCCGACACCTCGTCCAAAATCAGGGTATATCACGGACGTCAGGTGCTATATCCTCGCGGCCCATACTGGCCATAGATACCGCAGGTCCACATAATTCCATCAGTCGGCATCATTCACTCTCCGTCTCTCGCGACGCCTCTGCGTCTGCTGCAAGAGACATGCGTCCTACTCTTCCCCGTCCTTTACCTGACATCTCTGTCAGTGCATCGACGAAAGGTCTGACCAGTACGTCCAACGGCTCGTACTTCGCAACGTCTCTAACCGACTCGCGTTCAGAAGCCAAACAGCGCACCAAAAAAATTACGGTGGCGTGCAACTTTTGTAGATGTGAGGGCCGCCTTTTCTCCCCATTGTCTTCGTTAACAAAGTTCCTTAACAGCTCGCAAACTAAAGTGCGATGGCGGGCGACCAGCATGCAGTCAATGTGTGAAGCGGTCAAATTCATGCGACTACATGCCTCAAAGCAAACGTCGTGGGGGTATGCGAACAAGTCGAGACCGAGACAGCGGAAGCGACAGTGCAGACGAACCATCTCCTGATGCTCTGGATACTCCTGTTTCTGAAGTGCCGTCACTATCAATCTCTCGGAGGACCTCGAACGCGGGGAGCATGACACCGCTACCTTCCTTAGGGGTATCAACAGATGCGTCTACGTCTTCCGTTCGATCGAAAGGTTCCATGAGTGAATCGCGCTCGTACTGGGCGGATAACGAACTGCCGCACATCGCAACCCTATCTCTACCAGAACGGTCCCCAGCTACGCCGGTACCCATGTCCGCCCCCCCTCTCCCACCTATTAGACCGGCCTCAGAACACCAAGCGGCCCAACGCAAGCGTGCAGCTACAACTCCCGGAAAAAGTGGTCGTCAACCATCAACTTCTGGACCCAAAGTTGTGGCTTGCAATTTTTGCAGAGGTTCGTTGCGGAAACCTTATATATTCTACAGCTTCTCACCGGGTGTTTTTCTTTTTGTTCTAGCCCGGAAGACGAAGTGCGACGGAGCACACCCCGCATGTTCCAGCTGTGTCCGAAGGAACTTGTTGTGCAACTATGTCAATGACCGTAACGGGGGGGATCCTTTGAGGAAGGCACCAAAACGAGCGTCTAATGCGCGTCCTTCGCCTCCTTCACCACCTTCCTCCAGGATGGTGCCAACACCTTTGAGTGCGAAAGAAGAGAATGATTATGCCCTCTATGTGGAAGGAGGGGGGGAGTACGACGTGAAAAGGATGATGGAACATCCTGATATAAATCGCCCCTCAAAGAAAATGCGTATCGAGGGTTCATCCATAGCTGTTGATGCGATACCCTAGCGCCTTTTTGTTGGATCTATTCATGGATCAACGTCTGTAGACTAAGTATTTTTTTTTACCCATGCTTTCCCTCTGTTTCTGTTGTGTTATTTAGGGCTGGACGTTAGCAGTCATGACTTTGGGCATGGGACTGTATCTGTATTTGTTTTCTTCAGTTAAGCAGTGGAATTTAATCGGTCTTTTTGGATACGCTCTATCTCGTTGTTAACTTATTATTCTTCTCCTATTTTCGTGCTTGTGAGAAAATAGCGTGGCCAACTCGCTTCTTGTTCTGGTAATGGCTACTAATTACGACCCTGATTTGATTTGCCACTTGTCGTACCTTCTCTCTTTCGACTTTCGAGTCGCTTTGACCAGTTCGTGCCGTGTGAGACCAAGTGTTTCTCACTCCAAGGCAGACTTTCGCTCGTTCCTTTCATAAACTCACTTTCCCCTATACATATTATATTCCAGCTCTCTTTTTTCCCTCGGACACATTCAACCATGTTCTCGTTGCGACGGAAATCTACCAAGCCGGTCGAAACTCCTAGGATACGTGGCTCACCATCTCTTCCCGAGCTTAATCCTCAGGGAATCCCATGGCCGGAAGATTTGGTTGACATAAACAGCATCCGCGACGACCAACCACCGGTATCCCCAACCCATAATGGCCCAGCGAAGACATCTTTCGGAATGGAGGTCCATTCGCCAATACCGTTTCATAAACCTTTCCGTTCACCAGGAAAACCAGCCGAAGGTGGACCCATCTCGTCACTATACATGACACCGCACCCGCCCTCCGCTTTCAGGACGACGAAATACAGCCAGCGCCGGGCCCGCCTGCCCCCTACTTTCAATTTAATGGTACGTCGATCGTTGTGGTATTTACGTCAAAAAGGGCATCTTAAATCCGGACGGGACAGGTCGTCGGGGGCCAAGGGACAGGAAAGACCTCGCTTCTTCGTCTTCTTTTGGAAACGGCCGATATATCCCCTGCCGCCACTGTCGACCAGCGTGCTGCGGTTGACCAGTTCCTGAGAGGGGCTCCGAAGGCTACTCAGGATATTCATACTGCTTGTGTCGAGATATGCGAGTCAAGGTTCGATCGTATGTTGTTGTCGGTCATCGACACGCCTGGGTTGGATTTTGTAGAGGGGAGGGAGCTCAAGTTGGAGAGACAGGTTAGTGGGGTTTTGAAGTATGTGGATGCTCAATATTCGGATACAATGAGTGAGGTGCGTTGGCTTGTTGGTGGTTGGTTTTTTTTTCTCTGACTTGAACGTGTGCTAGGAATCCAAAGTAATACGGAAAAGCAAAGGAGATCAACACATTCACTTGTGAGCAAATGAAGCCTGTAGGGACCGGTGCGCTTGCCAATGGGAATAGTACGGTACCTTGACAGCGTTCATTTTTTCCGGCCGATAATTAAAGGTATGAAATCGATTCCGACATCCGAATTCGAAAAGTAAACCTGTTCAGGCTCCGTATTGCATGGCTGAAAGCGTACCGGTCTCTGCAGTGCAATTGATAAGTCTTTAGTTTATCTGACCTTTTATCACAGATGCATCTATATGATTCACCCTTCTTCTATCATGACCGTTGCCGCACGACGTGCACAGTCATCCTTACCCATTAGAACACGCTCAGAGGCAACCGTCTCCCAACGTACTCCCCCCGATCTCGTACCGGATACTTCCTCTGGTGACGACTCCGACGACGAGGGACAGGCTGCTCTTACCATGTCCCCCGCTGAAATTCGCGTCATTCGGCGTCTTTCAGCTCGTGTCAATGTCCTTCCGGTCATCTCCCACGCAGATTCCCTCACCGATGACAAACTCGCAGCCGTGAAAGCAGCCATTCACAACGACCTTGCAGATGCAGGTCTGGGATTTGGAGTGTTCTCTCACGGAGACGAGCCAGAGACCCCCAAGAAGAGGCGGGCGGTGCATACCAAAAGTCAGACTGAACCGAATGGGACCAGCAACGGACGCGTTGCAGATGAAAGTGAAGGAGAGGAAGAAGGCGAGCGGCAATCGCGCCCTATCATCAAGCTTCGCTCCTCGCGCCATTCCAGCACCCCACGAGCCATATCACGCTCGCGTTCCCGTCGTCGCGATCTGTCTGTTGCCGCTGACGACCACCGTCGACCCGTTTCGCCCGACCTTGACGATAAAGAAAGCGTTGCCAATGTTCGCTTCTCAGCAGCTGTGGTTGCCAAATCGACGGCTGATCTGGCCTCGCTCATGCCGTTTGCTCTCATCGCTCCGGAGTCGACGAAGAACAGGCACCGGGGTCAGTTGTTGAACACAGCGCCTTCTTCTCCCGTTCCTTCTTCGGAGGATGGACATTCTCCGTCTATTGATATGACGGTTTCTTCTGTCCCACACACTCCTGCTTCCCTCTCTGGCGCGCGCAATCCGACTTTTCTTGGACCCCCGGAGGATTTAAAAGGTGTATTTGTGAGGAAGTTTAGATGGGGAACTGTCGACGTCCTGGATCCCAATCACTGTGATTTTGCCGCTCTGAGAACGGCCGTGCTGTCTACTCACTTGAATGTTCGTGTTTGCTCGTTTCCGTGTTTCCGTCTGGGTGATCTAATTTGACATTTGTGGTCGTAGGTTCTGAAGACTCACACCAAAGAGGTCCTGTATGAGAAGTACAGAACAGAAAAACTCCTCGCTCGCAGGGCGACGCGTCAAATCACAGATGGCGAGAGGGATCGGTTGCTGGAAGGTGCGTCTATCCCATTTGAATGGAAAGGACGCGTGCTCACGCGGTTATAGAGATGGGATTGTGACTTCTCTGATCTACATTCATTGCTTCATGTTCTTATCATTTATACCCATTTCTTTTGTTTTTTGCTTTGTATATCAGTATGCCTGTTCGTTTTGCTGCACAGCATTGTGTAGCGGCTTGGATGGATAGTTTAGGACTCATCATATCATCATTGAATATTAATACCTGTTCTCCTGTTGAGCAGGGCGACCGGTGCAGGGATAATAAGTCCTCGATTTGAAATGACCACCAGAGAGAAACTGGAGGTGTAGATGTCTGTTGCAGCCCTTTATTATACACGATGAAGTGACGGCTGCTATTTGATAGGTACATTATTAATCGGCATTCCCGACGCTATTGTATCACCTGTACGCCTTCATCAAATCCTCGGCAATGCTTGGCAATGCAGGGAAACGCAGGAGTGATTAGTCGATTGGGACCATCCCGATCCCGATCTCATTTCCGAATATCGCTTCCGCGGTACCCGGGCCCCTGCGACCTGTCCTGAACGGCGCCATGTCGCTGTCCGGCCCGAGCACCCCAGTCCCCCGGCCTTCCTCCAAAACCTCTTGCCAAACACCGTTGTCACGCTTGCCGCCTGCCCCGCCTCCATTCCTTTATGGTCCTGCCGCCTCTGATATAACCCTCCCGATCAGATCTTCTCTTACACTTGTGTACATGACTCCACCCTTGAAGCCATATGGTACCTCCATCTCAAGATTCTCAACTTCGAATACTCATCTCTAAGAATCGTTCATGTTAATGGATATTAAACTAGCACGCCGAAGTTTCGTCCCTCAAGATCCTGCGATGACATTCTTCGCTAGCGTCCCTACCATGATCATTAGTTAGCGGCAGCGCGCATATATGTATCCGTATACCCTTGGGTTAACATGAGTGCGCTAACTGTCACCTTCTCCAATATATCTCAGAATTTGCCATTGATAGAGTACTTAACTTTGATTTGCGCCTTGCCAAAGGGAGCAAAGTCTTTACAGCCAACGAGGACCGGCAAAAAATCCTGTCTTTGAAACAAGCGAATTGCATTGATATGCCTCTATCTCCAGTACTAAGTATGGCATTACGGTGGATTGGTAATGTGATACTATGTAATCTAATTTTTATTACCCTATTGCTCTTGGTTCGATTCCCCATGCGCGAGTAACTTTCTCATGACATATATTTCCTTCCGATTAAGACCTCATATTACAAACCACATTTTCTACGGTTGTCAATCCAATCATAATGTCATCATCCGGCTTGCTAAGGTTAAATTTTTAGGTTATCCCTTGGTTGATTACCGCATTATGCTCTGTACTTGTATATCTTCTCTTGGGGTTGTTCAACTTCAACATCCATTCTTTCAATGCCAACAAATGCCGTGTTCTGCATCGCCTCATGCCCCTCCCGTGAGCTGTCCCCGAGCCATCCCAGCATAAATATCTCCACAGTCAGTGTTCCTTCGTGTCAGTATATCTTCATTTGTGTCGCTTTTGCCGACCACCTATTTCTCTCAAAATTACCATGCCTTCAACCATGCACGTATTTGCCATTCATGGCCAACAGCCACCTTCAGTACGTACCACCCAGTGTTCATCATGGCGCTGCAATTAATTGCGAGTCAGGCTATTTTACAGTTGCCTACATTTGAACTTGTTGTACTCATTCAAGAAGGACCGGTTTGTGGAGCCAGCTTATCGCCTAAGCTTCAACTACTGATCCTGATTCTCATTTAGTTCGACCTTTCCTTGGTCCGTACTTTAGTCGACATGTATGATGCCGATGATACTCCTGCTGAGAGGATGCAGAGTCGTCTGGAAGGTACGATTTCCACAATATTCAGACCCTCATCATTCATTTCATTTCATTTTCCCAGGAAACCATATTTACTACCAGTTTCAGGAGGCTGTCACCGAAATTGCCTCCCTCTATAACAGTACTCTCTATGCACAGCTCCTCCGGTTGCCCACCATCAGTCCACAGATTCATACTCCGCTTCCTGATCTTCCGTCAACCTCTTTGGCTTCACCGTCAGGCTATCAGTCACTCCCGCTAGAATTAATAAATCACATAACCGATTTCTCCAATCAATCCACCCTGATATCTCTTCGCCTCTTGGACAAAGCATTGCATGCTGTAGCCAGTCAATATAGCCATACACACCTCAAACTGAGTCTTCCCTCCCACTGGCGCACCATGTATATGCCAGCCACAATTGAACGTATCTGCCATGGCGAGGAAATAGGCATAGCAACCTTCTCCCGTATCTGGAATGTCGGTAACTGGGCAGTCTCTCTGAATCTCACCAACTGGTCCATGGCCAATGTCGCTTTCTTCTTCTCCCTTTTTCCCCACCTCAAGTCCCTCACAATTCAAGGCCACAACTGCCAGATTGCCAACAACCCGATCATCCTGTTCCCGTTTCTGTGTCCACCTCACATCCAGCATTTGAAGGTGCACAATGTAACCTTCCTAACCACAGGCAATGAATCACATAGCGTCGAGGCTATGTTATCCCCTGGCACCCACCTTAGATCTCTGGAAATATCAGGATTGATTAATGGCAATATCGTAAGTAATAATTCCTTCAAACACTCCCTTATCTAATCTTTCTTTATTCAGCCCACCTTTCCAAGAATGTCTTTGTCACATAGGGAGGAATGGCGTGCATGATGGGGAATCTCTACTTACCTCACTCCAGAGATCTCTTGTCCTCCACCTACCACTCTTCGCTCGATCACGACTCGTTCTCCTGGTTTCCATGTCCTTCTGCCACAACTGGGCGTGCCGACTCCCGTGCAAACCTTTCAAGAAGCTGTTTCCCTCGATAGTTTCAAACATATGATTTCTCAGCTTTTTTCCCTCCCAGATGCTGAGGACACCTTTGTCCCATATCTCGAGCTCACAGAAACTTATCCTTGTCTTCTTTGTGCACCTCGCCTCACCCGACTTGACATTGGTTTAACCAATGACCTCCTTCATTTGGGCCCTCTCATCTTTCGTGAAGTTGGCACCACCCTCCGTTTTCTCCAACTACAACTACGTAAGTTTATCACACCTTGCTTTGAAAATCATTCTAACGGGATCTCCCATAGCATATACTTGCCCTGAGGGTTGGTACCCCATTAGCGGTTACATGTCCCTCAGGGACTTGCAAGTTCTCAACTCTCTTGCAATTGTGGGTTCCATGGGAAACATCTCTTACGCCCTTCGCACGACGCAATCCTGGTGGAGTCCCTATAAGTTCTACCCTACTTCTACCTTCCAGCTCATCATCAACATACCATCCTGGGAGATGCGCTTGTTGCAAACCCGCCTTTTACCTGTGAATGTGCGTACCACCCTCCAGGGTACGACATACAATCCTCAAGGTTTCTTTCATGGGTATTGTGGCAATGTCACGATTTGTCTCAATGGAACACGACTGGCTGGAGTTAGGCCTCAAGATCAAGCCCATGGGGACCATGTTGTAGCAGTACTTAAGGCCGACCCTAATCTTTCTGCTGCCAGCTTTACATGCATAGTATCATCTTTGAACTGAAAAGATGCTTGATTCAATTCAATCATACTTTTTTTAAAAATTTTTGTTTCTCATTCTCCTTCGATAACTCTGCCCGGATATACTATATTATGTATCACTTCGAGCAGACTAGCTTCATTATGAAACAGTAAATATCATACCCAATTTGTTCTGCTCATGCCCTGACCAGTTAAATGACAGACATTTCAGACACAAGGTTTTGTATCACGATGTGTCATGTCACGCTACTCAACTATGGGCGCACCAAAGGATGCCAACTTGAAGGACGCAACTATGTAGCTCTAATTACATTACAGCTACAGCCGCTGATGACTTCGATTCCTTTTCGTCAGCAACGCCAACTTTCTCAAGATTTGTGCTCCACACCAGAACCTTTGAATGTGCGGTTACCTGCCTGTCATTGAGCATTATACAATAGTCAGAATAGAAAATTGGCACCTTTTCTACCCGAAAATTCAAAACCTGGAGACCCTCAACCGAAGACGCACAAGAAAGAGCTATATAAGATTGTCCATGCTCAAACACACCTGCGAGATCAATCTTGACAAAATCGAGTGTCTGTCCCTGGCTTTTGTGAATTGACATCGCCCATGCCAGCACCAGAGGTCTTTGCCAACATAGCATTCAGTAACGGGTAGAAGAAAAATTATAGCATCCACTCACAGTTGAGAGTGACAGGCTAAGAGCTTCCCCTCTGGGTCCTCGATATGAAACTCTTCACGGCAGATGAGTACTGCTTCTACCACCACCTCTCCCTTCAGCCGAGGTAAGCTGTACTCAAACAGTACCAATGTTAGCGACCGATTATGCAAACAAGATCAAACAACTAAGCGTGACTCGCACTTTGGTCAGGTGCTTTATGTTGCTTGCAGGTTTGCGTGCAGGGAGCTATCGCTTAGTGGAGCGAGAGTGAGTTCAGACTAAGTTATCGGGTGAATAAACTTTAGTTCAAGACTGAGGTTTAAGACCTGCAGTCGAGCTACTTAAATACAGTTTGGGTCGTGCTAAATATACTACAAGTGTCTGCAACAGTGTGTTACACGTACTGAACCCTCATGGAGAATGCGATCAAGTCCGGAGAATTAGTATAGCAGGATTACGAGAGAGAGCCGATAAGATAAGATAAAGCGTGAAATCGTAATATTACCCCCCTGTTAAGGCAGTCGTCCCAACTGCGATATGACTTGGTTTCGGAAGGTAGGCTCCTACGAGAGAGGGTGCGTTTGGTTTTACCAGGTATTCTTGAATTGCCTGTACCAATGGGTGGTCGACTTCTGACTCGGTTACAGATTCATGTTCGGACCAGGAATCTGATTCGTCTTCATTTTCCCACCATTCCGCGGAAGGTCGAGTGATGAATGAGACCTGTTCAAAGTCCTCGATTGCGTCTCTGGCGTTGTCCAGGTCTTGTTCATCTACCCAAGAGTTTTCCTCTCTTGGATATCCCTTCCACTTGACCAGGTATTCGATTCCGGTGCGACGTCTTCGTCCTCTCCCCGTTGCTCTTTCTCTTCGGTCTACGATTTCTTCTACTTCATATTGCTCTTGTCCGTCTACTAGGTCTGGTGGTGGGGCTACGGGCTGTATTTGAATTGGGAACTCCGGCGGATGGTATGGGGTGAGCAGGTTTTCATTGAAGCGGTCATGGATCTTCCAGGTAGCTGGTAGACGTAGCTTGTACGCTGAAGCGCCATGTTTGGATAGTACCTCGAATGGCCCGATGCGTTTGTCTCCTAACTTCTTCATTGGTCTAGGAAGATGCAGGTTTGTGGAATCCAGCCATACTTTGTCTCCTGGTTGGTATTCCACTGCCGTTCGTTGGTGCTTGTCGTATTGCCGCTTCATTGTCTCTGCTGCCTTTTCCAGGGCTTTTGTGGTTTGCTCGTGGACTTTTTGTATGTCTGCTATGAAGTCCTTTGCTGCGGGGTTCGTTCCTTCTTTTATGGTGAGCGGAGCAAGATGGGGTTTTTGTCCATGATTGATTTCGAATGGCGAATATCCAGTCGCGGAGTGCTTTCGATTATTGTGCTGGAAAGCCGCTAATGGTAGCCATTCGCTCCAATCATTCTGTCGATGATTGATGAATATTCTGAGGTATTTTTCAATCTCTTGGTTCGCCCTCTCCGTTTGTCTGTCAGTTTGCGGGTGGTATGCCGTGGACGGGTTTCCTTGTATGTGCAACATCTCATACAGCTCCTTCATGAACTTGGACACAAATTGAGGTCCTCGATCAGAGATCACCTTTTGAGGCATTCCGTGTTTGGCCCATACGTGGTCTCTAAGAATTTTGGCCCACCCTGCTGAGGTTAACTCCGTGGAGCAAGGTACGGGAATGACCTCTTTTGAGAATCGGTCTACGATCATGAGTATGGCGTTGTATCCATTGGAGTCAGGTAATTCACCTATCATGTCTACCGTTATGTGTTCCCATGGTCGCGAGGGTACGGAGTGCAGATGTAAGGGTGCCCGTTTCTTTTGTGTGCTTGTCTTGGTCCGTTGACAAGCTTTGCATCCTTTCACGTATCTTTCTACATCCTGTTTCAGCTTCGGCCACCAGTAATTTCGTTGGACGAGTTCTTTGGTTTTTTCAATGCTGGGGTGTCCGGCGGTTATGTGGTCGTGATGGATGGCAATAATGTCTCCTCTTAGCTTGGCATCCCGAGGAATATATAGCCGTTCATCATAGTACATCAGTCCTTCTTTTTGCGTGATTCCTCTGGGATGATGTAGGGACGCCTCTATCCCCTTGTCCCACCGGGTTACATCTCGTAATGCCGTTCGTATGTTTTTGTGTATTTCCTCCTCTGCGGGCATTAGGAGCGCTCTGAACATCTTGGGTTTTAGGACCACCATTTCCTCGTTGTCACTGCTTCCTTGATCATGGTCTGCCCTCCTAGATAATAGATCCGCTTTCTTGTTTGCCGTCCCTGGCTTGTGGTGTAGGGTGAAATGGTACTCGGCGAGTTCTGTTACCCATCGAGCTTGTCGACGGTTTAGCTTCTGGGGTTTCCGGAAGTATTGGAGATTTTGATGATCTGTCCATATCTCAAAGTCTTGGTGAGCTCCCATGAGATAGTGTCTCCAGTCTTCCAGGGCGAGCATGATGGCCAGGAGCTCTTTGTCGTATATTTCATAGTTTCGTTCCGTGGTTGTCAGGGCTTTGGACAGGAACGCTACTGGTCTCCATTTTCCCTCCTGCTCTTGTGATAGGACCGCCCCTATGGCTCCCTCGCTCACGTCCGCCTCCACGCGATATTTCCCCGTTCGAGTGGGTATGGCTAACACCACTTCTGTTAGCGACCGATTACACAAACAAGATCAAATAACTAGGTGTGACTCGCACTTCGGTCAGGCGCCTTGTGTTGCTCGCAGGTTTGGGTGCAGGGAGCTATCACTTAGTTGAGCGAGAGTGAGTTCAGACTAAGTTATCGGGTGAATAAACTTTAGTTCGAGACTGAGGTTTAAGACCTGCAGTCGAGTTACTTAAATACAGTTTGGGTCATGCTAAATATACTACAAGTGTCTGCAATGGTACGGTAAATGTACTGAACCCGCATGGTGAATGCGATCAAGTCCGGAGAGTTAGCATAACGAGATTACGAGGAAGCCGATAAGATAAGATAGAGTGCGAAATCATAATATTACCCCCCTGTTAAGGCAGTCGTCCCGACTGTGGTGTAACTTGGTTTCAGAAGGTAGGCTCCTACGAGAGAGGGTGCGTTTGGTTTTATCAGGTACTCTTGGATTGCCTGTACCAATGGGTGGTCAACTTCTGACTCGGTTACTGATTCGTGTTCGGACCAAGAATCGGATTCGTCTTCGTTCTCCCACCATTCTGCTGGAGGTCAGGTGATGAATGAGACTTGTTCGAAGTCTTCAATGGCATCCCTGGCATTGTCCAGGTCTTGCTCATCTACCCAAGAGTTTTCTTCCCTTGGGTACCCTTTCCACTTGACAAGGTATTCGATTCCAGTGCCGCACCTTCTTCCCCTTCCTCTCGCTCTTTCTCTTCTGTCTACAATTTCTTCCACTTCATATTGTTCCTGCCCATCTATGAGGTCCGGTGGTGGAGGTAGAGGCTGTATTTGGATTGGGAACTCTGGCGGATGGTATGGAGTAAGGAGGTTCTCATTGAAACGGTCATGGATTTTCCACGCGGGAGGGAGTCGTAATTTATATGCAGACGCGCCATGTTTGGAAAGCACTTCAAAGGGTCCAACGCGTTTGTCCCCTAACTTCTTCATTGGTCGAGGAAGGGATAGATTTGTAGAGTCCAACCATACTTGGTCTCCTGGTTGGTACTCTATTGCCGCTCGTTGGTGCTTGTCGTATTGCCGTTTCATGGTTTCCGCTGCTTTCTCTAGTGCCTTCGCCGTTTGTTCATGTACCTTCTGTATGTCTGCCACGAATTCCCTGGCGGCCGGGTTGGTTCCTTCCTTGATCGTAAGCGGGGCGAGATGAGGTTTCTGTCCATGATTGACCTCGAATGGGGAATATCCAGTTGCCGAATGCTTCCGGTTATTATGCTGGAAGGCGGCGAGTGGTAACCACTTGCTCCAGTCGTTCTGTCGGTGATTGATGAAGATGCGGAGGTATTTTTCAATCTCCTGGTTCGCCCGTTCGGTTTGTCCATCGGTTTGGGGATGATACGCCATGGACGGGTTCCCTTGGATGTGTAACATCTCGTATAATTCCTTCATGAACTTTGACACAAACTGCGGTCCTCTGTCTGAGATCACTTTTTGCGGCATTCCATGCTTTGCCCATACGTGGTCCCTAAGGATCTTGGCCCATCCTTTAGAGGTTAATTCCGTGGAGCAGGGTACTGGGATTACTTCTTTGGAAAAACGGTCTACAATCATGAGAATGGCGTTGTATCCATTGGAGTCTGGTAGCTCGCCGATCATGTCTACCGTGATATGTTCCCATGGTCGGGAGGGTACCGCGTGAGGATGCAGGGGTGCCCTTCGACGCTGAGTGCTTGTCTTGGTACGTTGACA